TCATCTGAATCTGAGTCGTAGGAATAGTAAAATGTTGTTTGGGCTATCTGGTTGTTATTATTAGTATCTAAACTTTGCACCGTTTCTTGTTTGGCTTGGCAAAGTTCTCTCAATTTTTCTCTTTCTTTACGAATTCTTTCTGTTTCTTCTTTAATTCCGGCAATATATGTTTCTGCTTCTCTTTGTTTCTCTGCTAACTCGGCATCTATCTTTGCATCATATTCTTCTTCAGTCAACAAGGAATCTGGATCTCCGGTTACCTTATAATCTACAATTCTATTGATCAAATCTTCCATAGCATCTGGATCATCTAGAGTTTTTGCGTCAAATTCTTTAACAGTTAATAACCAGTCTCGATTTTCTGTTGTCGTGTATTGTCCAAGCCTAATAATCAATTCATCCAGAATATCTGGATCCTCAATAGTTCTTGAATTGCTTTTCACTTTGACTGTATTCTGAACATTTATATCTAGTAACGAGTTATCAATTCTACCTGACTCTTCTAGGCCTGACTTAAGCTCAGTTTTAGTGCCCACTTCGTACAATGGAGGCATTTTTAAGGGTAGTGTGGTTGAAGAAATAGATAAGAAGGAGGCAGAAAAACCGCTGGCACCAAATATCCAGCACAAGTCTAAACCCAAACGTTTAAAAAATTTTTGGAAGGTACTTATCTTTTTGGACATGTTGACTGTTTCCTTGTGTTGTTAATCCAAACTCGCTCCGGTTGAAGAAACCCGCTGTTGTGTTGAGTTGAAGAAAGCTGTACACCAGATGTACTCCGTCATGAGTAGCTGATATACTTTCTTTCCTGTCCTCGACCCGCGCTCCACCAGTTGTGAGGGTGGGGGTTTTTAAGATGCGTAACGAATGAATCCAATAACACACAGTTCAAGTTCAACTATAATTGTTCTTTATTAAAATGATATATATGTTCAAGTTTCTACCTAACTGATCTACACTGTACTATTTACTTCTACTACTGACTGTTCACTATACTACTAACTCCCATGACCAATCCTAACACTAACTGTTCTCTACATTCTACAATCTCACACCTTCTACCTCGCTAGCTAATCATGAACTCCTAACTGTCTACATTCCTCGGCCGTCTCTGACCGCTACCTAATAACTCCTGGCCTATCGCTCTACTGACCCACGCCTCAGTGGTCAGCTGACCGTCCCACGTGACCGGTCAGTCTCTGAATTTTCATTGGTCTACCTCTGACTAACACGCTAAAGCCTATTTCTGCTATCTACCTGGCTTCGACGCAACATTGCGTCATCACACCAAGCCAGGCCAAGTTATCTTCTAAGTATCTTAACATTTTGGAGAACAAAAAAAAAACTATTGAAACCGTAGCACATTAATAATTTTAAAACTTTTTATAAATTTTATAAATAATGACGCATTATTAAATGCAAAGAAAAATACAATATTTTATATGGCGCTTATAAACATTTTTAAAGCACACCCCTCTTTTAAAACATCAAAACCAGGCTTGCATGAGTATTGTTTTGTCTTTTTATTACATTTTGATTAGGACAAATTTTTACTAGTTTTTGTAAATTTTGATGAATTTTTCAGTGTCACTAAGTTCACCGATGTAAATTTTGATGAAATTTTCTCTGTGACTAGTTTTACGGATGTAAATTTCGGTGCAAGCTAGCGACCAATGTGGTGTGAGGTTGTGACCTTTAGTGCACGCGCGAGATTTTTGTCGTGAGTACATGTTAAACTAACCGGAAGAGGTGGATATATCTCAAGCAGGTTTCTGCATGTTCGCATATGGTCAATGGTGCGTGGGTCATTTAAGGACTTCATTAAATGTGTGGATGAGTAGTGTGAGGGAGTGGGGGAGTAGTGTAGGGGTGGGGGAGTAGTGTGGTGGTGGGGGAATAGTGTGAGGGAGTAGTGGGGGTGCGTATTGTGTGGGGGGGGGGAGTAGTAAGGGAGTAGTGGGGATGAGTACTGTGGGGGTATGGGAGAGTAATGGGGGGAGTGGGGAATAGTGGGGGGTGGGGGAGTAGTGTGGAGATGGGAAAGTAGTGTTGGGGCGTGGAAGTAGTTTGGGGGTGGGGGAGTATAGTGGGGGTGGGGGAATAGTGTTATGGAGTAGTGTTAGGGAGTAGTTGGGATGAGTAGTGTCGGGGAGTGAGGGAGTGGGGGAGTAGGGGGGAGTAGTATGGGGGAGTGGGGATGAGTAGTGTGGGGGAGTGTGAGGAGTAGTATGTGTGAGTAGTGTGCGTGAGTGAAGTTGGTCAGTTAACGTGGGTGAGTACGAGATGTCTTTCACTCCGCGGTGAGTGCGAGATTCAGGGATTAAAGTTAATCTCTAGGTCAGCTCGAATGTCACGTACATGTCAGTCACCCACGATGACTTAAGTCAGGTACTTGTCAGTCACACACGATGACCTTAGGTTTAATAGATTGCATAAGCAGATTAAATAGGTCAGACAAGGACAGACGATAGTTTTTAAATGCTTGAGTGCAAACGAACCGGAAACAGATTTTTGACAAACTTTATCTGTGACTGTGAAATTAAGGCCAAGTCTGGAAGGATAAAAATTGTTTGGTTTTCAAATAGTTGATACCTGAGTACAGATATGGTCGATGTAACATTGTGTATAGTGGTGTTGCTGGTGTTGGTGGTGTCGGGCGTTGTTAGTGGTGGTGGTGGAGGTGGTGGTGGAGTTGTTGATGGTTGTGTCAAGTATCTAGTTGTGTTGTTGGAGTGATATGGTGTAGGTGTTGTTGTTGGTGGTGGTGGTTTCATTAGTTGCTGTTGGTGGAGTCAGGTTGTGTTGGTGTTGGTAAAGTGGTAGAGTCATTTGATGTTGTTGACGTCGGATGGTGTTGCGGAGTCAGATAGTTTCGGAAGAGTAAGATTTTGGCGTCAGGTAATGATAGCGGAGTCAGATTATAAAGGAGATAATGAGTCATGTAGCGGAGTCAGGTAATTTCACTGGCGTCAGATAGTGTTACTGGTGATAGATAATGTGTCCGTCTGACCGTAAGATAAATAGGGAAACAAATACAACATGGAGTCAGCGTCATAAGCGAGACGCCACTTCTGTGCTCGACGCTCCCACACTGGGCAGCCCATCTAATTTCGTCGTCAAGGATCCATCCTATAATTGATTGCTACTTAATTACTAATTAACTGATCTCCGGTAATGTCCGATCGATTAGGTACAAGTTTGAGATGTGACGTCACGCTATATACCCAGCGTTTTCACGGGCAGGCTGTTATGGTAGCACTGCTACATGTATGCTACATGTGTGCTACATGTGTGCTACGTGTGCTACCACGGTGTAGGTAGCACTGCTACATGTATGCTACATGTGTGCTACATGTGTGCTACATGTGCTACCGTTGTGTTGGCAGCATTGTTACATGCGAGTTGCTATTTTGTACGTAGCACTGTTACATGTTTGCTACAATTGTGTAGGTACTACTGTATGTATGCTATTATTTTGCAGGTAGCTTTACTACACATGAGTTGCTACTTTGTACGTAGCACTGTTACATATTTGCTACCATATTGATCGTGTAGCCAAGAAAATGTGCTCATGTGTAAAAAAAAAAACATGACGTGACGATGATTGTGTCGGTTTTAAACATAGACAGGAAAAGATCATCTTATCGCGTTATGCAGTGTACACCTTGTATCTGTGGTGTTCTCTATGTCTACCAGACTCACTGCATTCTCTGTGTATATTTCTTTTCGCATAAAGATTGAGTGTTGCAGATTTAAATGCTTAAGTTAACAAATTGTGTTTTTTAGAACGTGGTCTTGGTAGGAGGGAGGTGGGGGGGGGGGGGGGGGGGGGGTCTGAGCTTATATGGTGAGGGAAGTGTGGTGTATACATCGGTTTGATATTCGAGATGTCTTTCACAAATCACCACATAGATCACCACATAGATCACCACATAGATTAGCGCACTGGAGTTAATCTGGTCACCACACAGATCAGTCTATGGTAGGTAAGCTGGCGTACCCATACAATTGTCTACCGTAGATTTAATCTGATCATCTGCTCCGTACGTCTATAAATAGATTTCCGATACCGCAGTATCTGGTTACCGTAAAAAAAAATCAGATTGTTCAATGAAGCGGAACGGGTGTATTGTTGTGGTCCAGATCTCCGACCCCCGGGGCACACTGGCCCACATTGTTCACGTGGTGATTACAGATACGGCGTGCTAGACACGGGGACAGGCGGGGGTCCCAAACACGGGGACAGGCGGGGGTCCCAAACACGGGGACAGGCGGGGGTCCCAAACACGGGGACAGGCGGGGGTCCCAAACACGGGGACAGGCGGGGGTCCCAGACACGGGGACAGGCGGGGGTCCCAAACACGGGGTACTAGACACAGGGACAGGCGGGGGTCCCAAACACGGGGACAGGCGGGGGTCCCAAACACGGGGTGCTAGACACGGGGACAGGCGGGGGTCCCAAACACGGGGACAGGCGGGGGTCCCAAACACGGGGACAGGCGGGGGTCCCAAACACGGGGTGCTAGACACGGGGACAGGCGGGGGTCCCAAACACGGGGACAGGCGGGGGTCCCAAACACGGGGACAGGCGGGGGTCCCAAACACGGGGTGCTAGACACGGGAACAGGCGGGGGTCCCAAACACGGGGACAAGCGGGGCTCCCAAACACGGGGTGCTAGACACGGGGACAGGCGGGGGTCCCAAACACGGGGACAGGCGGGGGTCCCAAACACGGGGTGCTAGACACGGGGACAGGCGGGGGTCCCAAACACGGGGACAGGCGGGGGTCCTAGACACGGAAACAGGCGGGGGTCTCAGGCACGGGCTGCTAGACACGGGGACAGGCGGGGGTCCCAGGTACATGGTCCTAGACACATGGACAGGCGGGGCCCAGACCCCTCTTTACCCCGTGTTCTTTAATTACGGCGCTGATTGCCAATCAATAACCTTTGATTGTAGCGCCGTGCCGTTGTAGCCTTGTTGTTGTACTTGGTGGCACTACAGGCCACGCCAGGGAGATATGTCAATTGTTATCCTTCTTTTTTCGGATAGTAAAAACACTAATTGGATATTTTCAAAGCTGTGTCTATTTCCTTAATAAGCATAATATTATAACGTTGTCTTACTGATACTTTAAACAGAATGTTAATTTGGCTTCAATATCCAATCTAAATATCAATGTTATTTGGAGGTAAGTTGATTTTATTTATACACAACTTTATAGTTCACGCATTAGGTAATATTATTTAATACATTTTGACTACATTTTTACAACAGAGGAAACTAAAGTAACATTTACAGATACGACTGACATTCGACCAGGTGAAGTAGATTTTACCTGTTTATAAGGTCAGTTTTATACCCAGACACTGTTACACGCCAGGTACTCATTAGTGCTGGGTGAACTCAGGGAACCAAACTATAGACTATAGGCTAACAATGTGTGCACTCTACCAGCTGGACCTCACCATGCCGTTTAATTTTACAAGTAACATCATAATAAACACGACAATAGTTTACATGAACGTGAAAATTTACTTCAATGAAGTTACGAGATACATATAGACTTCGAATTAATCGGCAAGCAATAAAAAAAAACTAGTCATTATAATCGATTAAATATCTACGCATGATTCGCTCCAATCAATACCGAAACGATTGATTAAAGCATGAACGCTTGTACACTTGACAAGAGCCGATCAGTAATGTCTGATTTTTTTAATTGAGCTTCTACGACTTAATGGTGTTGTACATCGCTGGTTTGATAGACTGGTGTTCTAGGTGGTCTAGGGGTCCGTGCTATTGTAACGTCAACATAGCACGAACCACAAGCACACATTGTGTTGTGCTGATGACTCGTTGTGTTATCGGTCTTGTTGTGGTAGCGGTGGTGAGGTGAGTGAATTTATCTTACGAAAATTAATATGTTAATTTTCGTAATTAGAATTAAAATATTCTTTAAGTAAATAGGATATAAGTATGTTTATATAAAAGATATATAATCGTTTTCTTTGTATTTCAATGAGCGTCTTGGTTTAATGTTTGAATGCGATAGAACTTAATACAAAATGTTTGATTTATTTAAATTCGCATTCAGAATAGACAGGATTATGTCAGATGTTTACGAGTAAAACACACGGAACAGATTATAGACATTGCGTTGATCGTTACAGGATTATGTCAAGTTATTACAAGTAAAACACGCAGAACAAAATATAGATATTTAAGTTGAGAATTTTAGTTGGTTGTTAATCAAGAGATAACTTGATGATTGCATTAGACGTTTTTTTTACTCTAATCGTTTCAAGTAACCTTAATGCTAATTAAAATAGTGGAACTTTAAATTTTCCCGGGGTTGGGGAAATTAGTAAAAATATATATTTTTTATTTAAATTATTTTTTTTGGGGGGGGGGGGGGGGGTAGGCGTGTTTCTGGTAGGGGTAAATACAGTCCTCCCCCCCCCCCCAAGAGATGCATTAAAGAAACTATGAGCAGTTCTAAAATTCTAGCTAGTTTGGTGTCGCCCCCCCCCCCCTTCAATCTTGGACTGTGTCATTGTGTGCTTACAAAATTGTATAGCTTTAAAGGGATCTTGAATTAACTTGATAGTTTCTCACATACGTTGCCAATTTTTTATTTTGGTGTCACCCCCCCCCCCATACAATCTATGACGGTGTTATTGTGTGCTTACAAAGTTGGATTGCTTTAAGGGGATCTTGAATTAACTTGATAGAGTTTCTCACATACGTTGCCAATTTTTTTATTTTGGTGTCATCTCCTCCCACCCCCCACCCCCCGACTCCTGGGTGTGTCCACACCATCGACTTGTTACACCACTGCCACACCATCTGTTGCCTCTGTTGAGTACAGTATTGCTTCTATGTTAATAAATATTAAACTGCCACACTGGACGAACCTCTCAACCCCTCCACCCCCCCCCCCCCCACCCACACACACCCCATCCCATTATTCAGAGCTATGGTGAATACCTCCCCTTCAGTGATCCTACAATAAACAGGACATCGAAAAACACTCGGCAATCAGACGGCTCTCATCCATAAACACGGCTGATAAATAATTTAAAGTGGTTCTCTCTCAACAATGTCGCTGGGATTCTCAGTGGAACTGTTGGCGAGATTAGCGTCGCATCGCCTAATCCAATAACTTGGTCTAATCCAGTTGTGTACATGACTGGGTCTAATCCAGATGTGTACATGACTGGGTCTAATCCAGTTGTGTACATGACTGGGTCTAATCCAGTTGTGTACATGACTTGGTCTAATCCAGTTGTGTACATGACTTGATCTAATCCAGTTATGTACATGACTCGGTCTAATCTAGTTGTGTACATGACTCGGTCTAATCTAGTTGTGTACATGACTCGGTCTAATCCACTTGTGTACATGAATCGGTCTAATCCAGTTGTGTACATGACTTGATCTAATCCAGTTGTGTACATGACTCGGTCTAATCCAGTTGTGTACATGACTGGGTCTAATCCAGGTGTGTACATGACTGGGGCTAATCCAGATGTGTACATGACTGGGGCTAATCCAGTTGTGTATATGACTGGGGCTAATCCAGTTGTGTACAAGACTGGGTCTAATCTAGTTGTGTACATGACTTGATCTAATCCAGTTGTGTACATGACTCGGTCTAATCTAGTTGTGTACATGACTCGGTCTAATCTAGTTGTGTACATGACTCGGTCTAATCCACTTGTGTACATGAATCGGTCTAATCCAGTTGTGTACATGACTTGATCTAATCCAGTTGTGTACATGACTCGGTCTAATCCAGTTGTGTACATGACTGGGTCTAATCCAGGTGTGTACATGACTGGGGCTAATCCAGATGTGTACATGACTGGGGCTAATCCAGTTGTGTATATGACTGGGGCTAATCCAGTTGTGTACAAGACTGGGTCTAATCTAGTTGTGTACATGACTGGGTCTAATCAAGTTGTGTACATGACTGTGTCTAATCCAGTTGTGTACATGACTGGGTCTAATCCAGTTGTGTACATGACTGGGTCTAATCCAGTTGTGTACATGACTGGGTCTAATCCAGTTGTGTACATGACTTTGTCTAATCTATTTGTGTACATGACTGAGTCTAATCCAATTGTGTACATGACTGTGTCTAATCCAGTTGTGTTTGCATGAAGACCATAAAGCGGAAAAAAGTAAGAGCATGGAGAAGAGACAGAGGCGGGTCTTTACAAACTGAAACCTTGAAAATGTGGAGTTCCATCACAGACTGTAATATTATTAAATTAGTATACTCTACTTCTAGAGTTACATGTATATATATATATATATATATATATATATATATATATATATATATATATATATATATATATATATATATATATATATATGCGTGTGTGTTGTGTGTATGTGAGTGTGTGTGTGTGTGTTTCTGGCAATGTATAAGACATTCTATAGAACACCTTAGCAATCTATACGATCCTTGAAATGTCTACATTATCCTATATTTTTCCTAGGGATGACATAAAATGACTTGTCATTATAGAGTGGCAAGAACTGCTCAGGTTAAGTGTGAAATGCGCATTATGGAAAAGTATTACTCTATCCCTAACTCTAACCCTAATTCTACACTCTTCTCTATGCCTATTAGTGATTTAGGTCTTCTATAGAATGACGAGAAAATGTTTGTAATTGGAAGTATTTCGTACTCTGGTGACCCTTTTCGGCAATGTATACATTGCCTAGGTATTCTATAGAATGCCGATTTTTATATATTGCCGGTGACGTATAAACTTTTAACAATTTTAGTTATTTTATAAGTTTAGGCACATTGCAATTTTGAAAAAAAGTTAGAGCTGTTTAACGTTGAATATTAATTTGTTTTTTGTTTTTTTTTAAGAAAATTATTTTTTAAAAAAATCCTTAACCCAGTGGAGGCAACTTATAACTATTATTAAAAAACAGATACCAATAGATAAAATCAACCACAATAAAAAAATGTAAAAATAAAAATAGTAATAATTAATACATCGGTATTATAATTTAATTTGATTATTTTTTATTCAGTAGTTTTTAGAATTAAATTTTATAATTTGAGTATAGTTTAAATCTAAAACCGGTAGCTTTATCAAATACCTAATTTTAATAAATTGTGAAGGTACTTCATTTAGATTTAATTAATGTAACTGACTGATGTAAAAACAGTTGATTAAAAATCTAGTGAAATCTACCCCTTCCTCTCTCCCCCTCTATCCACTTTACCCCCAGACATGATAACCCCACAATCCCTTAAACCAGGGGTCGGCAACCTGCGGCTCGCGAGCCGCAAGCGGCTCTTTTGGTGTCCAGTTGCGGCTCTTCAGCTCCATGCACAAATATTAATAATTATTTTATTTTCAAAACTCATAAAAATATTAGTCTGCAACATTCGGTAATAAACGATATAACATAAGATATAAACAATAAACATTTACTATTATATTCGAATATTTAGTTACTCCCTATCTCAATGTACTTCCTATTACATTGGTCATTCCGAATTTAAACATTCAACTTCATAGTGAATATCACAAAGAAACTAAACCAGCTAAGTGTAAAACTGAAAGGAAAATCCAGCCTATAAATTGCTTGAAGAAGTGGTTTGTTTCGAAAATACTTCTTTGTTGAATACATGGTGAGCGGTAAATTACTTAATTACGAAAAAATCTGTAAAAATATCGTTATAAAACCAATGCTACTACTCAATCACTTCTGCATTAGTATAAACAAAATGACGTATGTTTTCACTGAGAGATTTGAGCTATTCAAAACAAATGCAAGTACTCTGACGTTCATAGTAGATCCTTTCAACACAAATCAACACAAATCCAAATGAGATTATTTCATATAATCAAAGCCATTTATTCTAAATTATATATATATATATATAGTATGATATATGTTTAGGATTATATATATAGTATGATATATGTTTAGGATTATATATATATATATATATATATATATATATATATATATATATATATATATATATATATATATATATATATATATAAAATCCTAAACAAATATACTATTGACATAAAAATGTTAGTGGCTCTTTAAAAACCGGGTGATGTTGTAAATTGTAACTTTTGGCTCTTTCGGCTCAAAAGGTTGCCGACCCCTGCCTTAAACTGTTCCAACGACCCCACCACCCACCGCAACATCAATATCCTGAACTTATTTAAAGTTCTAAATCTTGTCTCTTTCCCCTTATCTTTCACACTGCAACCTTTTGAAAACTCAATGCGACCACTACAACACCCTTTCAACTAGTCAACTTAAGTTGTTTCCCTACATAGAAAATGCTTCACTGTCCCATTGACCCTCTGAAAAATTTCCTTTCCTCTCCCCACCCAGACTTCTGACACTTTCATTTGACCTTCACCCCTTTTACTGTCATCCTTTGCAATTTTTTTTATAATCAAATACATGACATGTAAATATTCATTATGTACATTTGCAAAACCTTTCGTTTTCATTTGGTGTTCAAAATTATGTTAAAAAATTTGATGTTGATGTACTTGTTTTAATTGCAAATAAAAGTATTTAAAAAAAAAAAAAAAAAAAAAAAAAAAAAATTAAATTAAAAATCTAGTGACAATTTAAGCGCAATTTCCTTATTTTTGTACCCTATTAATTTATTTATAATTTATATGAGAGTGATAGGGAGTTTCAACTACAAGGTTTTGTTTCGCTAGGCCTAATCATTTTTTCACATTTTTTAAAAACATTAGTTATATGACTAAAAACCATTGCGCGCCTACTGAACGTGATGGCGCAGCCATTGAACGTGATGGCGCAGCTATTGAACGTGATGACGCGTGTGGTGTGGTTGGATAAACATGCCTACTAATTCGGTCCAAATTGCTATATACTACTGTAGTGTATTATGTATAATGTAACTTTAAAAAATTGTTTGTGACCGAACGAAAGAATATTTTTGAAAACTTTCTTCTGCAATATTGTTCTAAATTATTGCAGGAATCGATTGGTAAATGTTTCAAGTCGCTACGTGGTCTGGTTGCCGAGATATAGCCAAAAACTGCATTTTTTCGAGGTTTTTTGGCTTTTCCGTGAAATCCAGGAAGGAATTCCGGAATTTTTTTGGCCCACTATCATCCTCGTAAATTTGCTTTTGGAACTAGTCCTCGATATTGCTTCGTTGAGGAGGAGATACGACTTAAAGCTGCGAACACACATCCATTCATACATCCAGAAATGACGAGTTAATAAACGCAATTCTCCAGAATGGAAATTGCGCTAAAAATTGTTTTATTATCCCTCACCTTATCAATTGTATGTAAATTTTGTTGCTGTAAATCCTTGATTGTTTCTACAGGCTAATGCAGGGGTTGGCAACGTGCGGCTCTTTTGATGTCGAGATGTGGCTCTTCAGCTCCATACACAAATATTAATAATTGTTTTATTTTATTTTCAAAACTCATAAAAATATTGTTCTGCAACATTCGGTAATGAACGATAAAATAAAAAACATAAACAATAAGCAATCGCTATTCTATTAGAATATTTAGTTACACCATATTTCAATGTACTTCCTATTAACTTGTCTATCCCAAATTGCAACATTCAACTTCATGGTGGAGATTACAAAGAAAATAACGAGCTAAATGTAAAACTGCAAGGAAAGGAAAACCCAGCCTATACCTTGCTTGAAGAAGAGGATTGTTTCGAAAAAAAAATTACTTCATTTTGTTGAAGACCCGGAGAGCGGTAAATTACTTTATTTCGAAAAATTTGAAAAAAATATCACGATAAACCAAAGCTACTATTAACATGAATCACTTCAGCATTGCTATAAACAAAATGAAGGATGAGTTCACTGAGAGATTTGAGCAATTCAAAAGAAATGCAAACACTCTGACGTTCATAGCCATAGTACATTCTCTCAACACAAAAACAAATGAGATTAACTTTGAGCTATTTGGAATTGATGCTGGTTCGCTTGAAATTAAACTGCTAGATTTGAAAACCAAACATTTGTGGAGCGGTAAGTTCACAAATCTCAAGAGCAAGTTAGATGATTTGGAGGTCCAGTAAAACATGCACGTTTCACTGTACAACTGGACATTTCAACAAAAAGTTGAGGCCATACTATGTGACGCATGGAATAGTCTTGCAGGATGCTATAGTAAGGTGAAGAATTTGGCATTTGGAGTGCTGACGATCTTCGGTTCAACATATTCATGCGAGCAAGCGTTTTCTTGCATGAATTTATATAATACAAAGTATATAAGCCATCTAACAAATAAAAATCTAGAGGCATTTTTGAAACTGAAAACAAGTTATTAGCCAGATTTAAACAAACTTTCAAAAGGCATGCAAGGCGAAACTGTTGTAGATATTTTTCAATAATTAGAGTCATATAGGGGCCTACTTCGATTACTGATTTTATTATTCAAGCAGAGCTAGACGAAACACTTTAATACTTCTTTTCTGCGGAACATGTGTGCATGTATTTGAATAAATATTATTTCAAATTTAAAGATATATATATATATATATATATATATATATATATATATATATATATATATATATATATATATATAATCCTAATCAAATATCGTAGAATTGAAAGAAAAATGTTAGTGGCTCTTTAAAAACTGGGATATTTGGTAAATTGTAACTTTTGGCTGTTCCTTCCCAAAAGGTCGCCGACCCCTGGGCTAATGCATACACACATATATTTATTGTATTTTTTAAAATTGTAAATAAAAGTTTTTTTTTAAATTAGAAAAACAAACAAATGTTTTAATACAAACCTGTTGGGGGAGTGCTGTTTGAAGTGAATAATGTTTGATTGGATGTGTCTCATTGTACTCTACATAGCATTCAGGCTGATTATAATATTCTTTTCTTAAATCCCAACTTTATTTCAGTCCATCCTACCCCCTAAACCCACCCAACAAAAAAAATACTCATAATTTTTTTTCTTCACATTGCATTTTCGGGTTTATAAATAAAATTGTAATTAGAAGTTTTTGTATTATGTATACGCAAACAACCTTAAATGAATAAAAGTACATATCAGAAAGAAATATTACTATTGTAAATATGTATCAGTCCTCACAAGCCGATGAAAACTGTATTGCAGTTTTCATCATCGACTTATGTCTTATGAGAACTGATAAATATTTACAATAGCACAACCTAACTAATAAATAATTTGAAATCTTTTGTTTTTTCAGTTGACCCCGTCCAGTTGACAAGAAAGTGAAGTTGAGAATGTTCAAGTTTCAATGTTTCAAAATGTGTAGTTTTAAATATATAAATTTTCCGCCATCTTGAAAAAAAAACCGGAAAATTTAAATTGTTGATTGTGATAAATTAAAGCCTCCGACATTTTTTTCAAATACAAATATACAAACATACAAACAACTGTCCAAAATGGCACAAGCTCAGGATTTGAGAAAATCTGGCACAGTGTCGGTTCCAGAGGCATGGGACGATGAGGTGGACACGTCCACCACACGGAACATCGACATGAAGCAACACCTGAGCGTCAAACACGCCCTCCCCAAGACCAGACTGACCAACACCATCTTGTACGAGAACTCCAGCCACGACAGGCACCTGGCTTTACAGGTAAGTAACACCTGGACGTGACGGTAAATCAGACCTGGACATGACAGTAAGTCACACCTGGTCGGCACCTGGACATGACAGTAAGTCACACCTGGTCGGCACCTGGACATGACAGTAAGTCACACCTGGTCGTCACCTGGACATGACAGTAAGTCACACCTGGACATGACAGTAAGTCACACCTGGTCAGCACCTGGACATGACAGTAAGTCACACCTGGTCAGCACCTGGACATGACAGTGTCACACCTGGTCGGCATCTGGACCTGACAGTAAGTCACACCTGGTCGCCACCTGGACATGACAGTGTCACACCTGGTCGCCACCTGAACATGACAGTAAGTCGCACCTAGTCAGCACCTTGACATGACAGTGTCACACCTGGTCGCCACCTGGACATGACAGTACGTCACACCTAGTCACACCTAGACGTGACAGTAAATCACATAGCTTATCCTGACTCATACACCAAACAATTGTTTTAATGTTTTAACCACCTCCCCCCCCCCCCCACCTCCCCCCCCCCCCCCCCAGCTGGCGTCCATTGAGCGGCGCAAGGAAAGGACCATGTTCTCCCTGGACATGAGCCGGCGGACGTTCGTCAAGGAGCAGGAGAAAAAACGCCGGCAGTGGATGCGTGAGGACGAGATGAGGCTGTCCGGCCTGAACCTGCCGGTCCTGCCGCCGGCCGTCGTCGAGAGATGTCCCAGTGTCCAGATTTTGTGTCACTGCCGGTTTAACAATGTTAGTTTTGTGATTTTTCTTTGTTATCTCCCTTGGTCTCACATATTCACTCCCCTTGTACGATGAATTTATTTTTTTTTACTTTAAATCTTGTTTTAGATCTGGTATAATTAATCTTAATTATTTATCTAAATATATTATCCCTAGATTTAACATCATGGTTGAGTGTTAGAGCATACGCCTGCTGACCCGAAAGTCTATAGTTTTGTTTCCAAATAAAGTGTACCGAAAGAAAATTAAAGTTGGTCATCCTATAATATAAGTCATCTGCCTGAACTTTCGAAAGCGGGACTTTCGGGTTAGCAAGGTGCCAACTACCTAGGTCAGAGGCGTAGCGAGGGAGGGGGGGGGGCACATGTCCCCGGGCGCCGACCTTAGGGGCGCCAAAATAGGTTAGAAAAACGAATTGAAAGTTTGAGGGGGGGGGGGTGCAAATCGAAAGTTTGAGGGGGGTGCACATCGAAAGTTTGAGGGGGGTGGGGTGCAAATCGAAAGTTTGTCTCCGGGAAGGGTCGCTACGCCTCTGACCTAGGTCATATCTGAGAAGTACATATACCCACCCACACACTCCCCCCACCCACACGAGGATGTTCCGCTACAGATAAAAAGCCCTGTCCCAATAACGTAGCCCTAATATGAGCAAGTGTTTTCATTTTTCCCCCAGGCCAAGTCCGGCAACAGCCCACGAAGGCAACCCATTCTCCCGATGCTGAAGATCAGAAAAGAGCGGACCGATATCGTCCTACACCGGAACAAGACGTTCATCACGCACCTGCCGACCTTCGTGACCGTGGACCGCCAGATCGAGGCTGTGTTTGACCTGTATCGAGGCAAGACCTACCTGGACCGGGACTTCCCCAGCCATGACGTCAGGTTTAGACGTCTGCTAGAGGGGCAGGAGAAGCGGAAACAGCAGAAAGAAAATTTGTGGCGCAGTTTGTTGTGATGTTCTGTGGAGTGGCGCGTCTTGATTTATATAAAAAACAACTGGTACAAAAAAAGTTTGTCCAAAGACCAACAAAATATAGTGTGAATAAATGTACAAATTGTAAAGTACATTTCAAAATAAATTGTTTTTCTTCGTCTCAAAATGTTTTACTTTAAATTTTGTAAACTTCCATACATAGATCTCAGATTTCTGTGCTATTGTTTATATCTGAGAGGTTGTCCACGTATTGTATAGCAAGAAGGTCCTAGGTTGGTTGTTTATAATTGTTATATGCTGTGGTTGTAGGCTATAGATCATTGTTGTGTAACACAGCCTTTGCTTTTCACTTTCCTGTTTTGTTCAAACATTAAACATAACTTTAAACCTGCTTAAAAAAACAGACATCTCATTCATGAACATAAGAAGAAATAAAAACACAACAAAGATAGTTCGGAATGTATTTGTCTCCTTACATTGATCAATACAGTTACAAGCTCGCCAGAACAATCTTTGAAATTCTTGCAACACTTTTAAAAAGTAAATATAAGCTGATGCTACATGACTGAATCTATATTACATGAAGCTTTTCATTACGATATAGGACTAGAAAATAACAAGTAGAAAATGAACCTTCAACAGATGAAAAATATTTCAGACCAGACTAGAAACAATCAACAAGATTGACTGGATTATAAGGAAAAATAAAAATCTCATGGGATTCTTGAAGGCAATAAAACAACATCTGAACAAGCAGATAAACAAAATGTACATCCTTACCAGCATTTATACATGCACTGGAAGATCATTATATTCCAACAAATGCAATACAAGTTTTAAAATACATTCTATATCTAATAATATGATAGTTTTTTTAGAAAATCATATTAATAGTTGATCTCTCTAAAAAATATAAGATTTTTCTAAAGGCAATAAAAGAATAATTTTTTAAAAAAGTATAAATAACTTTTCATTGAGTAGTTTCCCCTTAACTTCAATCCAAGTCTCTCAACAAGTTTAGGATGAGAAAATATTAAACAAATTTCAAATGCCTTTAAAAAAGATGCAAATAGATTTTACACTGATTTTTTACTAAGAAAAACCCCATTTTAAATTTGATTTTGCCAAAAATCTGTTTGAAAAATAATTCTTCAATAATAATAATTCACAACAAAAATAAATTATAATTATATAAAAATATTTTGACTAAAATACACTGCTGAATGTATAGCAGAGGTTATCTTACATGTCAGTTGTTCAAAGGTACAAGTTCAGCAATGTCAGGCTGTTGTACAAACAAGTTCAGCAATGTCAGGCTGTTGTACAAACAAGTTCAGCAATGTCAGGCTGTTGTACAAACAAGTTCAGCAATGTCAGGCTGTTGTACAAACAAGTTCAACAATGTCAGGCTGTTGTACAAACAAGTTCAGCAATGTCAGGCTGTTGTACAAACAAGTTCAGCAATGTCAGGCTGTTGTACAAGTTCAGCAATGTCAGGCTGTTGTGCAAACAAGTTCAGCAATGTCAGGCTGTTGTACAAGTTCAGCAATGTCAGGCTGTTGTACAAACAAGTTCAGCAATGTCAGGCTGTTGTACAAACAAGTTCAGCAATGTCAGGTTGTTGTACAAACAAGTTCAACAATGTCAGGCTGTTGTACAAACAAGTTCAGCAATGTCAGGCTGTTGTACAAGTTCAGCAATGTCAGGCTGTTGTACAAACAAGTTCAGCAATGTCAGGCTGTTGTACAAGTTCAGCAATGTCAGGCTGTTGTACAAACAAGTTCAGCAATGTCAGGCTGTTGTACTAGTTCAACAATGTCAGGCTGTTGTACAAGTTCAGCAATGTCAGGTTGTTGTACAAACAAGTTCAGCAATGTCAGGCTGTTGTACAAACAAGTTCAGCAATGTCAGGCTGTTGTACAAACAAGTTCAACAATGTCAGGCTGTTGTACAAACAAGTTCAGCAATGTCAGGCTGTTGTACAAACAAGTTCAACAATGTTAGGCTGTTGTACAAACAAGTTCAGCAATGTCAGGCTGTTGTACAAACAAGTTCAGCAATGTCAGGCTGTTGTACAAACAAGTTCAACAATGTCAGGCTGTTGTACAAACAAGTTCAGCAATGTCAGGCTGTTGTACAAACAAGTTCAACAATGTTAGGCTGTTGTACAAACAAGTTCAGCAATGTCAGGCTGTTGTACAAACAAGTTCAACAATGTTAGGCTGTTGTACAAACAAGTTCAGCAATGTCAGGCTGTTGTACAAACAAGTTCAGCAATGTCAGGCTGTTGTACAAACAAGTTCAGCAATGTCAGGCTGTTGTACAAACAAGTTCAACAATGTCAGGCTGTTGTACAAACAAGTTCAGCAATGTCAGGCTGTTGTACAAACAAGTTCAGCAATGTCAGGCTGTTGTACAAACAAGTTCAGCAATGTCAGGCTGTTGTACAAACAAGTTCAGCAATGTCAGGCTGTTGTACAAACAAGTTCAGCAATGTCAGGCTGTTGTACAAACAAGTTCAGCAATGTCAGGTTGTTGTACAAACAAGTATGTCAGGATAGTATGTAAACAAACATGTGATAACTTAAACAAAATCAACAGTTACATCACGGATTTTTAAAATATTTTCTCAAAACATTTTTGACAAGAAAAACCAGTGATAATTTGGAAGACAACATTTTCAACATTTGAAAACACAAAATAAATATTTTAAATTCAATAATAATTTTCTAATCCATATTTATAATTAAATAGTATCTAAAAATAGTAGTAATATATATCAGAGAAAGGAATGCACACAACTTAGCTAAACAAAAAACCTCATGCTAATAATAAAAACGCACTCTAACACAAAAGTTAAAATCTTTGTATTAAAATAAAAGCTTCCATTGTACAATCTTACTAGCACTGATTTCATTAAGTCAAAATTGGGAAATTAACAAAGTAAGCAAGGGACACAGACTAGGAAGAATAAAGGGATATAATCACCGCAATGTAATATATGTCAAAAATCATTAAAATCAAGGGATATAATAAGTAGAATCAAGGGATATAATTAGTCATATCAGGATATATAATCATTAATATCAAGCCATATAATCTGTAGGATAAAAAAATATAATCTGTACAATCAGGGTAAATAATCAGAAGAATTAAGGACAATAACTATTCAGTACAATCAAAGGATACAGTGGATACAACAACACATATCAAAGGATATAGTGGATACAACACATATCAAAGGATACAGTGGATACAACAACACATATCAAAGGATACAGTGGATACAACAACACATATCAAACGATACAGTGGATACAACAACACATATCAAACGATACAGTGGATACAACATCACATATCAAAGGATACAGTGGATACAACAACACATATCAAACGATACAGTGGATACAACATCACATATCAAAGGATACAGTGGATACAACAACACATATCAAACGATACAGTGGATACAACAACACATATCAAAGGATACAGTGGATACAACAACACATATCAAAGGATACAGTGGATACAACAACACATATCAAAGGATACAGTGGATACAACAACACATATCAAAGGATACAGTGGATACAACAACACATATCAAACGATACAGTGGATACAACAACACATATCAAAGGATACAGTGGATACAACAACAAATATCAAAGGATACAGTGGATACAACAACACATACCAAACAAGCACTACAAAATCTTTCTTATGTACCAGTTATTTAAGTCTATGTGTGCCACAGGGGTAGAGGACCATAACACTATAAAATGTATAGATATATGTATGATACATCACAGGGTTCATAACAGAGCTGAACAGAAACTTTGTAAATGCAGAACAAATGAAACAATAGTCAACAACAACAACATGTTTCCAAGGCAACAGTGTGGCTGGTACCATGTTAACCAAATAGTGGACCAGCCTTATATAAAGTGCTGGATGTTAAGAGTCATTAGAAATCCACTTTGTTTTTAAAATCCTCATGTTCATCAGAAGTCTTGTGGTATGTTTAAATCTGAAAAGTTAATTTATCGTTTACCATTCCCTGTAACTCTTCTTGGCTTGTTCTGTTTTTTTTATATTTCCTTGGTTATTCCCCTTAGAATTCCACACCGCATGCCTTCTACAAGTCTGTGGACTCAGTGTCAGACTTGAAGGAAGGGTTATCAGAAACAAAGAAATTCTTGTGCCACCTAGTGGCCAGTCGGAGAGGGATGCGGGGAGACTCGTTTCTTTGAGGGACGTGGGCGGTTTCATTTCTAGGGTGGATGTGGGGTGACTCCGTTCTAATCACATCAGTCCTGGCAGGGTAGGAGTCATAGGCCTGGTTAGTGAAGGCTGCCAGTTCAGTCTCCTCTCTGTAGATTCTTATCCGTTTTCTGATTTTTAATTGTTTTGTTTTCCTGCAAACAATGCAAGATTCTATGACTTTTTCTTTATTACTGGTGTCGTTAAAATTGTATATTACTAATAAATGTACTAAAAATTGTTTTAAATTATTACAATAACATGGTTATTCCAAAGACAATGATAATAATGCTTTGAACTTTTTATAAAACCTTTGATAACTAAAATTTTTCAATACGAATGTGTCTGAATTTCAGCTATAACATAGTAAACAATATGGATTTGAAAATATTAAAGGTTAAAGGGAATTAACTCTGATCCAAAAAGATTTTGTCAAAAAACAAATAGTTACCTGAGAATGTAAACAGCAACAATAACAAATAGCAACACAGTAGCAACCCCAGCCAAGGTCATGCTGCCTATGACAATGGATTCAGTCTTAATTCCACTTTGTGCTGCATAGGCATAAAGATATTCCAAAAGTTATTAATTATTTTACTTCTAAATAATCATTTAGTTAATGATTATACAGTAGTTTGGTTCTGTTTTACATTTTTTTTTAAAAACAAACGTCACTACTACTAGTAGTACTATGAAATAGAATTTTTAAAAACAATGTCAAAACCATCAACTAGAATTAAAAAAAACAAATGTCAAGAACATCAAATAGAATTTAAAAAACCTAGCACCTTTTAAGCAGACCTCAACACCACAGTTACAGTTGATGCCCTGACTGACACCACTGCAGTCCTTGGTTGAGTTACAGAAGTACTCACACACATCTGGGGTAACAAGAGAAAATCTTTAGTTACAAGATGATGGTCAATATATAAAGTACCTGTTTATGTGATTATGTTATGTGAGGATGTTATGTGGTAAATGTAAAGCCCAGCAACCTGTTAGTTATGTCAGGTACCCTGTAGAGCTGGGTGAACTCAAGGATAACTACATGCTCTAGCAAAAGACCTAACTTGAGTCTTTTTGTGCTGGCAGTCATGCCATACATTTAGTGAACATAAGTGTGTACCACATGTTGACAACAACTATTTTTAACCATTATTTTTTAACTATTTTTAATCTTTGTCTAATATACAAGTCTACTTAATCTTCTAAAGTCCAAAACATCATAAACCTGGATTAGTTGTTTACTTTTCTCAAAAATAGTATTTTTTTAAAAATGTTTTTTGAATGTAAGCTAATTATTTCCCACATATTTAGAATGAATCCAAATCTTAGCAAAATGTTACAATGACTCACCAATACATTGACCGCTGTCTGTTTTCTAAAATCTTATCAAACTGTTACAATGACTCACCAATACATTGACCGCTGTCTGTTTTCTAAAATCTTATCAAAATGTTACAATAACTCACCAATACATTGACCGCTGTCTGTTTTCTAAAATCTTATCAAACTGTTACAATGACTCACCAATACATTGACCGCTGTCTGTTTTCTAAAATCTTATCAAAATGTTACAATGACTCACCAATACATTGACCGCTGTCTGTTTTCTAAAATCTTAGCAAAATGTTACAATGACTCACCAATACATTGACCACTGTCTGTTTTCTAAAATCTAAGCAAAATGTTACAATGACTCACCAATACATTGACCGCTGTCTGTTTTCTAAAATCTAAGCAAAATGTTACAATGACTCACCAATACATTGACCACTGTCTGTTTTCCCCAGCTTGCACTCACACAAGTAGCCATTGTCCAGATCTTGACACACCTTGTTCTGATCACACGTGTCAATTTTCAGCTCGCACTCGTTAACCTTGCCTTGGACACACTGGGTCTTGCTGTCTGCTCCCTCCTGCTCTGTTGTTAGGTTGATACCGCAGGGCTCACAGGAAGATGCGCCCGCTTGTGTTTGGTATGTGCCCAGTGGGCATGGGTGGCAGGTCACATCGTTCAAGCTTTTGTAGTGGCCTTTCAGACATTTCACTAAAAAAAACATGAATGTATTTAATTTAATGGAAAAATTTTAAATACATTTGATTTTAGATATCAGGGTCCTCATTGATAAGACAAAGCACACAGATACGGCATTACAATCACTGCAAGAGCAATTCTCATTTACTTGCCCTCTCCCTCAAAATTATGCCAGGTACTCATTACGGCTGAGCTGATTTACAGATCCCTCAAGCACATATTGAGCTAATGAAATATATGATCTGACAATATACAACTAGCCCTTAGTGACAAGTTATACAATAAATAGTTTCTTAGCCAAAACCTTACCAAGACAGACACCTCTATCAACCCTAACTTTATCAACAGTCACCAAGATAGACAACTCTCACTAAGACAAACAACTTTGTCAACACTCACCAAGACAGAACTTTGTCAACACTTACCAAGACAGAGAACTTTGTCAAGACTCACCAAGACAGAGAACTTTGTCAAGACTCACCAACACAGAACTTTGTCAAGACTCACCAAGACAGAGAACTTTGTCAAGACTCACCAAGACAGAGAACTTTGTCAAGACTCACCAAGACAGAGAACTTTGTCAAGACTCACCAAGACAGAGAACTTTGTCAAGACTCACCAAGACAGAGAACTTTGTCAAGACTCACCAAGACAGAGCTTTGTCAAGACTCACCAAGACAGAGAACTTTGTCAAGACTCACCAACACAGAGAACTTTGTCAAGACTCACCAAGACAGACAACTCTGTCAACACTCACCTATATTACACTGGCTCTCACTGACTGCCCCCTCAAGTTCTGTAGTAAAGCCAGGTTTACAAGGTGTGCAGTAGCTACCAGCAGTAAGCTTGGCGTTGTATGTGCCAGCAGTGCAGGAGGTGCATGTTCCATCTGTACCTAGCTGTTGCCCTGCTCCACAAATATCTGGCAACAGAACAACTAGTTTAAGAGGCTACACATTCCATGTCTCACAGTTCAGACAACAATGTCTATAACTTAATTTTTATAATAAACTTACTTTGTAAAAAAAAAGTACTAGAACTGTAGCTTAATTTTATATTAACTAAACTAAACCAAAAATTTCTTCAATGACTATTAATAATATATTTTTTTAAAACGTTTTATAATTGAGACTGGCTGTCATGACAATTAACTTAAATTATAACTTCTTTATAAATAATAAATAAAATAATAAATAATAATAAATAATAGTAATAATAATAAAAAATGATATTTTTTTAAAATTCTAATCTTTCTAAAATAGCAAACAGCATCATAGCCTCTTTGAATGATACACTTGTTTAAATAGAAACTTTAATGATGTAAGGTTGAATTTATATTTTTTTTAAATGTGCACTGACCTTGACATTCAGCCTCAGACTTGGCGCCTGGGACTTTGGTGGTGAATCCTGATGGACACAGTTTACATGACCACTGTCCTGCCACATCTTGATACTGACCCACAGGGCAGGAGTCACACTGAGATTTACCTGTGTTGAAGCTACCTGCCATACAAATACCTGAGGATTGAAGGGAAAGGACATTTTTGTGTGCTAAAGGTACAAATTGTTTTAAGATTTCAAATGTATCCATTACTGATACAACTGTCAATAATCAAAGGATCCTGGGGAATGTTTCAGAACATGTTTCTATCAACTCTTCTATAAACTATCAGCTTTTAAAAATTTCTGTGACAAAATTTTATTCAGTTAATCTGTTTCTATCAACAAACTTATATCAAGTATTCAAAAGTTCTCTGACAAAAACATGTATTGTAGTTAGTACTTACTCTCACACTGGGATATACTAGTGGCGCCCTCTACTCTGGTTATCTGACCATCTGGACATGGTGTGCAGGCTGTCTGAAGGGGCTTGTCATTGTACTGTCCTTTAGGACAACGGCTGCAGGTCACTGGGTCCTGAACATAGTAGCCAGCAGGACAATCAACTGTAAGGACAAAGTTTGACCATAGTGTGTTAGACAGTCATGGTGCTTGAGCATACTGTATAACCCGAACAGGGTAGTAAAGTACCCTTTCGAACCTGATGGTCCATGGAGCTAATAAAGTAGAGTTCACCTAATTCTGTGACATCAGCATATGAAGGAATAGTGTGAGAACAGAGTAGTGGTGGTTTATTCTTTCTTTATATTGTGTTAAACTGTGTAGTGGCTGGTGTAGAGCAATGTTGTACAACAAAGACTTGTATTTTCATTATTTGGATCTTCAATTTATATTATTTGAAACGGTTGGATGAAGAAGTCAAAAAAATCTAATGCATGGATTATTTAATTAATATAAGTGTTTATAATTCCTTCAAATGGAGATGTAAGAAGTGATTTTCTCTACAATGATGTAATTTCCATAATATACTTTTTAAATCCCAATATTGTTGTGTCAAACTTTAGGGAAGGGCGGGGGGAATGGTAAGTGGAACAATTATATAATATGCATGGTGGTGGTCTGTGCAAATTTTATATAAGGTGATCTGTGATGAGGTGTTAAAATGTATCTATTCTTTAATTATTTAGTTTATCAACATAAGTTTAACAAACTGAAAGTACATTTTTCTAACAGGGTCTAAGTTAAAAGAAAATCTTACCACAAACTGGCGTGTCAGTGTTCAATAAAACCTGGCCACTATTACAGTCAGGTGATAAGACAAGACTATCTGAAGTCATTGTAAAATTGTTCATTGGGTAACTCTTGATATTTTGGATTATCTCTCCTGGCATACTGTTTAGGTTAGTCAAATTTCCTTCACTGTTTCAAATTAAAAACAAACATGAAATTAATAATAATATTTTTTGTACTATTTAAATTACAATATAATGATTGTATGCATGAATGTTTGAATGGGAATCATATAGTCCACAAAATGAAGCAATTTTTTATTTGATCCTCAAGAAAACAGATTTTTTTATTTTTTTTATTTCTATGTTTTTGTCTACTCACAATGTCACTATTCAATTTTGTACTGTAAATTTTTGGGTTTGGAGCCATTAAAAAATGTAAGTAAAACATTTAGCCATTACTGCACACTTACATCAAACTGACTGCAATGGAGACATTATGTTGACTTACATTAAACTGACAGCAATAGTGACATTATACACAGCACCGAGACCCTGAGCCTCCCTTCTGATCCTGTTCTCACTGACGCAGCTGATATTGAGGGTCTTGACACTGCTGCAGGACTGGCCACACTGATACATTTTTTGGTCCATGCTGGCCAAAATATTTTCCAGAGAGGTTTTTAGTTTGGCTTTCTGTTCCTCTGAACAATCTGGCCCCTCAAATTTAACAGAGCCTTTGATCACCAGAGCAGGTGGATGTGCACCTAGGTAATACACACACAAAATTAGGTAAAACTTTACTAGAACTTAAACAATAATCATTAATAAAATAGGTGTTGACATTGCTGATTCAACATTTACTAACTGTTAAAAGGCTGATAGGACAGCACATTAGTTTTTCAATGTGTTTTTAATCTGCCAATATTACTATTATGGTTTCAGATGGGGTCATGGTTAGGATAAAACAAATAATAATAACCTAGCTTTCAGTCGACCTGCTAACCTTTTCCTATGTAAGTGATATTCTCATATTTTAGTAAAGTAGTAAAGTTCCCTTTTCAAACCTGACGGTCTATAGGGCAAGTGAAGTAGAGTTCACTTGTTTCTGTGACCTCAGCATATGAAGGGATAGTGTAGTCTACTGGCTTGATCTTGGATTTGAACTCAAGACCTACGGGTTAGCAGTCCAGCTCTCTACTGCTAGACCACTCCATCCCCATTCTCATAGTTTATTGCTACAAAATTAAGTGATTAAAAAATGTCCACAGCAAAATATACCTGGTTTAAAAATATCCTAAAGTAAAACTTACTAGCACAAGCTGGGAAAGAAAATGGCTCCCCACTAGATGGATCCCAAAGGCCCTCTTGTCCACAGCGATAGAAGGCTGGTATAGGAGCAACAAAGTGATACTTGGGCAGGCATGACGGGACACAGTACCTGCCGTGTTTCCAGGTGTAACATGCCCTAATGCCACTGAGGGGAGGGGGAGGATCTATACACTCTTGCTCTAAAACAACATGATCAGGTTTTTGTTAAATAAAGAGAATAAAAGGGAGAAACGTAAAGTGAAATAATTGAGTGAAGGTGTTTAAAGGCTCTATAGTTATAGCATGTTAAACCTTTATGACCCATACTGTGCACAGCATGTGACTATCAAAGAAGACATTGACCCAAGACTTGTCAAAAAAACTCAAATAAACTACAAGAATCTATACTTTTACTTTTAAAGGTTATAAAATATTTCTTAGTTTTTGCAACTTTTAATTTTTTTTAAAATAAAGAATAATAAACATCTGATGTTGAACTAAGAGTAAATAAAAGTTGAAATAATTCAATTATAAAAACACTGTAAATAAATGTTTTAAATGTTTAACTCACTTCTAACAAATATTTCAAAGCTGCATTCTGCTGAGTTGTTGTTACCATCAAAGGCAATGTAAGTAACCAAGTTATGTCCATATGCAAGGCATTGGCCTAAATAAAGATAATTACCACAATTTAATTAACAACTGTCAACTGTAAATGATGGGTATAAGGGAAAAATTTGTAAACAATATACACAATACTACCAAGCTTGTTTCCTAACTTGCTGCAAACATAGATGCTAGAAATTATCTAAAGCCTGCGTCCCTCTGTTTTATTTTTTTTAAATACTTTTTTTTGTCATCTGACATAAATTTTAATAATTTCCTTGCTGTAGGCTATAGGTCTATACCTATTTAAGTATTCTCCATATCACATAATCTAAAAAAATTTTTTAAGATAAATTATTGACTGTAAACTAAAATAATTTCATGTAGTTTTTAAAAATACTTAGCTGATAATGAGGATTTAAATATAAAATAAAAATAAATTAATCAACAACTATTAATAATTTGTTCCTATAAATATTAAACAGCCTAATGTTACCAACCTGATCGCAAGTTTTGAAGAACTGAGACAACACCCACATTGTCAGAAAATGTTGGTTCCTCCCATGTAACTGACACTGGACTTTTTGTGTTGGTAGCTACAATTGTACCTGGACACCATGTGACCTGAGGGGGCGTTTTGTCTGCTTCTGAAATAGTCACAGGTCTAACTACAATCATAGTGCTGATATTTAAATAAAACAAAAATTAAACTTAGGGGGCGTTTTGTCTGCTTCTGAAATAGTCACAGGTCTAACTACAATCATAGTGCTGATATTTAAATAAAAGAAAAACCCATTAAACATTAAGTGTGGGATGTGGATGTCAAAATAACAACCTTTTACCTAGATCTAACATTGTTTACAAAAAAATGGGTGAGGGAGTGGAATGTAGTGGAGGAAATCCTATAACCCAAAACAACCTTTTACCTAGATTCAACAAAGTTTACAGAAAAATGGGTGAGGGAGTGGGAATTTAGTGGAGGAATTCCTATAAACCAAAACATTTTACTTTGATTCAACAATAATTACAAAAAAAAAAGAAAATTCTGGCATTCATTGTAAAAAAATTTAATTTTTAAACAATTACTAAATAGTTTGTTTGTAATGAATGTATAAATTTTATTAGCACGTAATATTGATACATCTTACTCAGGAGCTAACTGGTTTTATTTCTATATAACACAGACACCACTTACTGTGAAACTAACCGGTTTTATTTTTATATAACAAAGGCACCACTTACTGTGAAACTAACCGGTTTTATTTTTATATAACAAAGACACCACTTACTGTGAAACTAACTGGTTTTATTTTTATATAACACAGACCACTTACGGTGGCTGGTGATAAGACAGTCCTCTGTATCACATATATTTCTGTTACACACTGAAGGCATCACAACATCAATAGCACCAGATAAATAAGAGTCTGCTGTCACCCAGTTGAAAAGGTCACTGTTTATCTGATCATGTGATATGTAAAATAAAATATTTAATTTTTTTTTTTTTACATTATATACAAATAATTATATTAACAATAATTAATTACTAAAGTGTTCAATAAAATGTAGTTTAATATTTTTAAATATCAAAGTAAATAAAATATTTGAAGTTCGTAATTTAGCAGTTTCCAAACATTTTTCATTATTGCCCTTTGCTTTTTTTTAAAGCTAACCATGGCTTTTGGTAATAAAAAACCCCAACTAATAGACAATTTAGGGCAAAATAATTTCAGTAAAACTTCCTGCTTCTCCCAGTTTGGAAAGTCTTGCCCCACACCATTAAAAACAACTGAATCAATCATATGATTTTAAGTTTTGTGAAAGGAACGCCTACATAATCCACAGTGCAGTCCTTAGCCATGTGTAGAATGGTATCAGGATTTAACACAGTGCTGTATATGTTGACACCATGGAGATGACCTTTGAACCACTCCTCATCACTTCCTGCCTCTTGCTGACCCAGTGTCAGATTTAGCCTGTTGGGAAGAACAATGGCATCATCAGGATCTTCATTATCAGCTCTTACATTTTTCATTTAATTTTCTTTTTAAAAAACGACTAAAAAGTAATTAAAGACAAACAGAGAAACAAGTTATTTTGTTTACCTGTTGTAGGTCCCCCATCTCTTGACCTCTCCCACTAAAAATATTTTCCCATCACTGAAGAGTGTCCAGATGGATGAGTTGAATGTCCAGCACATATGGTGCCACAGCCTATCATTGCTGACTGTTTTGGTCCAGCCACTCACAAAGAGAGAAGACAGAGCTTCAGAGCTTCTCAGTGTTAGGATTGAGCTGAAAGGTTTAGGAGAAGTCAACTAATGTCTTGATGATGTTCATAAGTTTGTAGTTGCAGACAGAAAGTTTAATGAGTGCAGCCTCTTGCCACAGGATCATACAAACAAAACAGACAAAGCCATACAGACACACCAAAACAGAGACTAAACAGAGACACCATAATGGATGCAACAGACAAACCAATAGAGATACTAAAACAACAGACCAAAGCAGACACACCCATAGAAAAACTACAAAATACAAAAACACCAATATAGACACAAATAAAGTCAGACACCCCAATATGTAGACACACCATTATAGACACTTATACACACACAAACATGAATACAAACACACAGTACACAATACAGCTACACCAACTGCTGACATTAATATTGACACACCCTAAAACACTAACTACAGACACAAATACAGACATGACTATAGACACAAATACAGACATGACTACAGAAACAAATACAGACATGACTACAGACACAAGTACAGACATGACAACAGAAACAAATACAGACACGACTACAGACACAAATACAGACATGACTACAGACACAAATACAGACATTGCTACATACATGCATGACTACAGACACAAAAACAGATATGACACAAATACAGACATGACTATAAACACAAATACAGACAGACATGACTACAGACAGACCCAAACTTACATATTGCCAGAAACAAGCTGTAAGAAGGTTCCAGAAGACAAGACTTTACTCCACAGACAGACTGTAAACTCTGTAAGATTTTCTGCAATGATTGTTGGTGCTAAAACTGCAGACATTTTTTCTCCTTTAAAGTGTAGATCAAAGGCTGAAGACTTTTCTGGAAAGAAAAAAAAGTCAAAAAATATTTTATTACATTATGTAAAAATAAATCAACAGGTGTGTTGCAGGCTAAAGTTGAAGGTCAGTATAATTTATAAATAACATGAGGCTCCCTCCTCCGCTCAGCACACACATTTGTTCTGACATAGACCCCCTCACTCCTAAAAAAAAAATCTACTTTTAGTTTTGTTACAACTTATACCATCTATAAAAATCATACATTCAATTAAAAAAAAAATTTAAACAATGCAAATGTGTGCCATCAGTTTTTAAGTCCTATATGAACACTGATCCACCCACCTTTCCCGCAGGAGTCTGTGTTTTAAAAACATCCTTACTGATTAAATTATAAATCTAACCTTTCCCACAATCTGGCCCTGTAAAGTAGGGTGTGCAGCTGCATACATCCCTGAAAGATACTCTCCGACACGTCCCTCCATTCAGGCAGAAGGATCTATTGGAGCAGGTGTAATAGTTCTCACAGAGATCTCCAAAGAATCCCTCAGCACACTCGCAGTGGAAGGTGTTGTCACCAGCTATACACTTGCCCTTGTTCAAGCATGGACTACTTAGGCAATCAAATGTCTGCTTTTCACAACTTTTACCTGTATACCCTGAGTAAGCAAAAACAATTATTTTTAAAAAGTGGTTACTTAAAACAAAGTTTAAATTATTAGTCATAAGGGGGTTATAAGATTTGTTCTTTTTTACAAAGATCTAATAAATTATTTCAAACATCATAATAGCCATTCATTTTCATTACATTGATAATTGGGTTACTTATAATAATGTACTTATAATAATAAGTATATTGGATAATAAAATTAAAACTGAAAAGCTTATAACAAAAAAAAAAAGATTACAATTATTAATCATCATCATAGGGAGCTCATATCTTTTTTAACAAGGATCTAATAAATTAATTCAAATAACTTTTAAGGCCAGGCATCTTTATTACATTTATAATTGGGTGCTTATTAGCTTACTAATGTGTAAATAAAATACTTAAAACAAAACTTTTTAAAAAACCACGTTTTTCTTGTGGACTAAAAAGTAGAAAATAAATTTTCATACATTTGATGACAAAATCGTGGGTACGTTCACCATCAAATTTCCCGACCCATCTGCCCGACCCACGTTTTTTGTCATTAAATGTATGAAAATTTATTTTCTACTTTTTAGTCCACAAGAAAAACGTGGTTTTTTAAAAAGTTTTGTTTTAAGTATTTTATTTTCTCCTTTTTAGTCCGTTGCTACACATGAAAAACGTGGTTTTTAAAAAAGTTTTTTATATAGCTTATTTGCTACTATATCTAATGACTTGATTAAGTATGACTTGGCTAAGTGTTTATAAATACACGGACTAAAAATCTTGAGCGACCAGGATTCGAACCTGGGTTGTCGCGGCCACAACGCGAAGTACTAACCACTATACGATCACGGCCAGCGCGCTCACATCGATTGGGGCCGAAGTAACTGTGCCAATAGGCCTCCAGTCTTGTCGGTATCTTTAGAAATCATGTCCTAAATTTTATGGTCCTTGGGGCGTAATTAAATTAAGCTAATTACGGTCTCTAATTGCTAGTTTTTATGATTGCATCTGAAATTGTTAGGCGAAAGTAGCCTACATGCCAAATTTCAGATCTATTGAGCAATCAGAAGTGGGCTAATTTTCGATGTCAATTTTAACAACAAACAAACAAATCCACAAACGCGAAGCTGAGTTAAGAAAAACGTGTTAATAAAATAGGGATTTATTTTAAACGAATTAATAACATGTTTCCACTCTTTCATTTTAGTTACCAGGGGATAGCGCGAACGCAGTCCCCTCTACGAAAAAATTACGCACCCGAGTCACCCACATTTAGGGTGATCGCAGGGGTCAACCCACACGAAGTGCAATGTGCAGGCCTCGCCCTGGGAGGACCTCCTTGCTGATCAAGGTGCCTCCTGTGCCAGGTAAGTATGATTAGTCTCAGGCCTGATTCAGGCCTTTTAATCAAGCTAGTATGAAATCTAAAGTGTGTCGCATTTTGCATATTATATAAATAAAAAGCATATTAAGGATACTACACAAAATATTTATAGTTGTTTTATCCTATATAATTGCATATCTATTGATATTACAACAATAATAAAGGGTTAGCTGAAATAATTAAATTTTGCTTTATTATTCTGTGCATTTTATTTTTCAAATCTTTGACTGGAGTAGTTTCCCTTTATACAAACATCGATAACAAGATTACTTCCCTTTCAATTCGAAACCTATTTAATTGTGCAGCATTTCAATTTCATTGCAATATTCTATAAAAATTAAGTTTTGTAGTTTAAAGAGATTAGATAAATGTAAATTTAATTTTTAATTAATATAACAAAAACGCATTAGAATTTTTTTTTCTTTAGGTTCATTAATTAAATGAATTTTTATTTTTTAGCCCTCAAGTATTTTCATTCATCTGCAAAAGGTTTTTTTACAAACTTACACTTAAATTATCAAGCTTGATTTGAAATGCCCTGAAAATGTGTCACAACAAAATGCAAATTTACCTGGTGGACAATGACAATAAAATTGAGAAATTCCCTGTGCACAGATACCGTTGTTTAAGCAAGGAAAACTGAGACACTCATCAATGTCTACCTGACAGCTTTTGCCAGCAAATCCCAAGGGACAACTGAAAAGTAAATAGATGTCAAAGAAATTTAACATAATTATCTGTTTTGATGATAATCATATACCAACTGCTAGTCAATAACTGTTGCTCTGATTAAAATCATAACCTTAAACTGCCCAGCATTTCAGTTTTTTTTTCAATAAAATTATTTTTTATATAACATGTTTTAAATTTAAATGAGGTTGGGGGGAGGAGAAATGTGAGTAGCTTATACTTTGTAATTTTTATACTGAGTTATTATGAAATATATTTTAATTCATGCAAGAATTATAAACATATGAATAACAGGTAATAACATTATAATTGACAAGCTTGAATTTGAGACAATAATTAACTAATTAATAATGCCAATGATTAAATAAAGAAATAGTATAAAGTAGCCTTAGGTAAATATCTATTGCTTAATTAGAAAAACTAACCGACAATAAAAGTCATCAACCATATCTACACATCTCCCATTGTTCTGGCAAGGCTGACTCAAGCAGTTGTCAGTGTTGTTTTCACAGTACAACCCACTGTACCCTGGCTGACATGTACAGTTGAAGCCACTCTCTGATTGCCTGCAGATCCCATCATTCCTACAGGGATTTACGCTGCACCAGTCGTAGATTTGCTGAAAATAATGGAACACTAATAATTAAGTGACAAAAATAAAAGTGTAACTGTTATAAAGTCAGAGAGTTCTAATGTGCAACTACAATCTCATTTGAATTTCTACTAGATTACCCTATTTTCTTTTACGAATTTGTGTTTAAAGGAAACTACTCCAAAAAACGCAACAAAAAATTAATAATCAAATCTGAGTAAGTTTTAGTAGTAGATAGTCCATAATTTTTTAAAAACAAAATCTTAATTTTCTCAAAATAGTATAACACATAATGACAATCTCATACAAGAAAATGGAATATTTAAAGTATTGAGCCTTAGACAAAATATAAATAATCAAATCTGAGTAAGTTTTAATAATAAACAGATGGTCAATACTTTAAAAAAATTTTTTTAATTTTCTCAAAATAGTATAACACATAATGACAATCTCATACAAGAAAATGGAATATTTAAAGTATTGAGCCTTGGTCAAAAGATGTAGCCTATGCAGTGTTACTTACATTCAATGAATGATCATTTAGTTGACAAGAGTCTGTGAGAGTCTCACATTTAGGACCTGTAGATAATTAAAGTTTTATAATATTGTAATAAAACACATCCACATTCCTAGAAGCTGTCACTAGTAGCCTGGACAAGAAAAATTTGATGATCAATTGAAATCTGGATATTTTGCTTGTTTAGATGAATGTAAAATTAAGTTTCTCTTAAAATTTAAAGTTTAACCAATTTTGCAAATCTTTATTATAAAGTTTCACTAGTACAAAAATTATTATTTTATAATTTTTTTATTTTTGTTATTACATGAAATATACTTAACATAATCAGAACCATCTGTCATTATTTTAAAAAACCAAAAAAAAAACCCAAAGAAAAAGCCCAACTAACCTATCCAGCCTGGCAAACAATTGCACTTGAAGGAATCTGTGTAGCTGAGGCAACTTTCTGTTCCATTTACACTGCAGGGCATGGGGTTACATTTGTCTATGTTCTGTTCACATCTCTCTCCAGTGTAGCCTGTTTGATAGGTTTTTCATTCAAAGTTCACATTTTTTGTTAGAAAATATAATTCATGTCAACTTAAATTTTATCCAATAAATTGTAATTTAGCATAGTAATGCATTGCATATATAATAAAAATATAATAAAAATTAATAAACCTTGTAGAAAGAAACTAAATAATTGTAGTTATTTTTATGTATCAAAATTTTATTTTTATTACTACTTGACATCAAAAACATATTTTATAACCTAGATTTAACAAGTTAAGAATACATGAGATACAAAAAAAAAATTAAAAAAAAAAATTTTCTAAATATTTTCAAACTATGACAATGAGCATGACACGGGAAAATGTGGCTATGACTACCTGGCTTGCATTGACAAATAAACGCGCTCTGACCACCAGTTCTACATGACCCTTGATTCTGACACGGACTTGATTGACATGGGTCAAGATGCTGGTCACAGGTATAACCGGTGTAGCCAGTCTGTAACCATAGACAACAAACCATTCGCAAATGACTAATGAGTGTAACATTAACAGTGTATTTTATTCAGAGATTATTAAATAATTCATTGTTTTAAAATACAGTATTTAATGGAATTTTCATTTATATATAATGGAATTTAAATTTTAAAACCCATTACAAAATTACACAAACTGCACTGCACTTTAAGTCCCTTGTTAATCGAAGAATATCAGCTCAACTTTCAGGAACAATTATTTAATATTAGGACGAATTATTTCATTTAAGGAGCAATTATTTAATATAAAGGGAATTATTTAACATAAGAAGAAATATTTAATACAAGTGTGGAATTATTTAATATTATAGAAATCATTTAATATTATAGGAATTATTTAATACAATGAGCAATTATTTAATATATAGACCCCTATACCAGCAGTAAAAAAAACAACTAGATGTTTTAATTCTCAAAGAACTTACTGCACACAAGCAGCTGAAGGTCCCTACGACATCTAAACAAGTTCCTCCATTGTGACAAGATGAGTTTGTGCACTCATCTATGTTTATGTGGCAAAGTTTACCAGTAAAGCCTGAATGTTGAGAGCCAGAAACAAATACAGAAAACATGAGCATGACATATGGTATAAAGCTACATAGCATGAACTTTTTTTTTTCAACAGGGGCAACAAAACTTAAAGTAAAAAAAGAAATGACCATTACTTTTAACTACTAAGTATCAGTTCTCTAGAATGAATATTTGACTTAATAAATCACAGATTATTTCATGGAATATTTTTTAAACTCAAAGACAGGAGAAGTAAACAAGAAAGATTATAGTTTATTAAAACTGTAACAATATTTAGTGATCCCACCTGGCAAACATGAGCAACTGAAGTCGCCAGGACCATCTACACAAGTGCCACCATTCAGGCATTGATTAACTCCACAAAAAGATAATTCGTCCTCACAATAAGGGCCAGTGAAATAAGCATTCTAAAACATTATAAGTGACATACAGAGATACATACAATAACTATAGCTTTTAAAAGCAAATCATTTATAAAATCCTGAACATTTTAGAAGTATTAATAGTAGGCTTACTATTTATTGTTTATAGCAAGAGACCAGATAAATAACTAAGATTTTGGCCTTTGAGTCTTCTAATGGAGCAAGTTTTGTTTAACTTGGCTTAACCAAATGTAAACTGTAAACTAATGTGTTGAGAAAATTTTTACATGTAAATGGTAAACTAAAGTATTCAGAAAATTTCTACATTAAATGTTAACTAAAGTATTCTGAAAATGACTACATTAAATGGTAAACTAAAGTGTTCTGAAAATGACTAGATTAAACTGTAAACTAAAGTGTTCTGAAAATGACTAGATTAAACTGTAAACTAAAGTGTTCTGAAAATTTCTACATGTAAACGGTAAAGTGTTCAGAAAAATATCTACATGTAAATGGTAAACTTAAGTGTTCTGAAAATCACTACATGTAAACTGTAAACTAAAGTGTTCAGATAATGTCTACATTAAATGGTAAACTAAAGTGTTCAGAAAATTTCTACATTTAAATGGTAAACTAAAGTGTTCAGAAAATTTCTACATTAAATGGTAAACTAAAGTATTCTGAAAATGACTACATTAAATGGTAAACTAAAGTGTTCAGAAAATTTCTACATGTAAATGGTAAACTAAAGTGTTCAGAAAATTTCTACATGTAAATGGTAAACTAAATTATTCTGAAAATGTCTACATTAAACTGTAAACTAAATTGTTCAGAAAATTTCTACATGTAAATGGTAAACTAAATTATTCTGAAAATGTCTACATGTAAATGGTAAACTAAATTATTCTGAAAATGTCTACATTAAACTGTAAACTAAATTGTCCGGAAAATTCTACATGTAAATGGTAAACTAAATTATTCTGAAAATGTCTACATTAAACTGTAAACTAAATTGTTCAGAAAATTTGTACATGTAAATGGTAAACTAAAGTGTTCAGAAGATGTCTACATGTAAACTAAAGTGTTCAGAAACCCAAACTCACACATTGACATGTAACATCGTCCCCAGACCTGACACAAGTTCCACCATTATGGCATGTCAGTGATGTGCTGGAACATGCATCCACACGTTGTTCACATCTAACAGAATACACCAATGTTTTTTTTCATTACATATTAAAAGTATAAACAGTCAGCAAAAACAATATTTATACCACACTGCACATCACATCACTATCTTAAGTACACCATAAGTAAAGCAGAATATAAATCCCATGTACAATAGAGTATCCAATGTAAAACACATATGCTATCCCATGTAAAGTGTCAAACATCCTTCAATGGTTAGAGAAACTGACCTCTCAGGAGCATATCCAGCAGAACATATACATTTAAAACTGTTATTCACATTTAAACACACACCGTGGATGCAGGGATTACTTTGACAGTGGTCCACCACAAATGAACAGGTTGGTCCCGTATAACCTGGGAATAAAATAAATTTATACAGATATACATAAGATAGCAAACTTTAAGTTAAATAAATTTATACAGATATACGTAAGATAGAAAACTTTAAGTTACAAGGCACACATAACATTTTTAAGCTTTTAAAGTGATAAATTGTTATAGAATCTAAAACTTTGTACTCATAAACCATGGTACAAAATTAAAACTGTGTACACATAAAGAAGGATATAAAAGGGAGAATTAATGAACAAGAGTACAAATTCCTTTGGAGGTCAATAAACCACTTTACAGACACGTTTTAAAGAATGAATGAGCATAATATGTACTATCTCTTCTCAAATATTATTTGCACAGCTACAGGTAAAAGACTGACCAGCTAAAGTCTCACCTTCTGCACAGCTACAGGTAAATGATTGACCAGCTAAAGTCTCACCTGACAACTACAGGTAAAAGACTGACCAGCTAAAGTCTCACCTGACAGCTACAGGTAAAAGACTGACCAGCTAAAGTCTCACCTGACAGCTACAGGTAAAAGATGGACCAGCTAAAGTCTCACTTTGTGCACAGCTACAGGTAAAAGATGGACCAGCTAAAGTCTCACCTTGTTACCAGCTACAGGTAAAAGATTGACCAACCAAAGTCTCACCTTCTTTACAGATACAGGTAAAAGACTGACCAGCTTAAGTCTCACCTTGCGACCAGCTACAGGTAAAAGACCGACCAACTAAAGTCTCACCTTCTGCACAGCTACAGGTAAAAGATGGACCAGCTAAAGTCTCACCTGACAGCTACAGGTAAAAGATGGACCAGCTAAAGTCTCACCTTGCGACCAGCTACAGGTAAAAGACCGACCAACTAAAGTCTCACCTTCTGCACAGCTACAGGTAAAAGATGGACCAGCTAAAGTCTCACCTGACAGCTACAGGTAAAAGACCGACCAGCTAAAGTCTCACCTTGTGCACAGCTACAGGTAAATGATGGACCAGTTAAAGTCTCACCTGACAGCTACAGGTAAAAGATGGACCAGCTAAAGTCTCACCTGACAGCTACAGGTAAAAGATGGACCAGCTTAAGTCTCACCTGACAGCTACAGGTAAAAGATGGACCAGCTAAAGTCTCACCTGACAGCTACAGGTAAAAGATTGACCAGCTAAAGTCTCACCTTGTTACCAGCTACAGGTAAAAGATTGACCAACCAAAGTCTCACCTTCTTTACAGATACAGGTAAAAGACTGACCAGCTCAAGTCTCACCTTGCGACCAGCTACAGGTAAAAGACCGACCAACTAAAGTCTCACCTTCTGCACAGCTACAGGTAAAAGATAGACCAGCTAAAGTCTCACCTTCTGCACAGCTACAGGTAAAAGATGGACCAGCTAAAGTCTCACCTGACAGATGCAGGTAAAAGATGGACCAGCTAAAGTCTCACCTGACAGCTACAGGTAAGAGATTGACCAACTAAAGTCTCACCTGACAGCTACAGGTAAAAGATTGACCAGCTAATGTCTCACCTGACAGCTACAGGTAAAAGACTGACCAGCTAAAGTCTCACCTTGCGACCAGCTACAGGTAAAAGATTGACCAGCTAATGTCTCACCTGACAGCTACAGGTAAAAGACCGACCAGCTAAAGTCTCACCTTACAGCTACAGGTAAAAGACGGACCAGCTAAAGTCTCACCTTCTGCACAGCTACAGGTAGAAGATGGACCAGCTAAAGTCTCACCTGACAGCTACAGGTAAAAGATGGACCAGCTAAAGTCTCACCTGACAGCTACAGGTAAAAGATGGACCAGCTAAAGTCTCACCTGACAGATACAGGTAAAAAATGGACCAGCTAAAGTCTCACCTTCTGCACAGCTACAGGTAGAAGATGGACCAGCTAAAGTCTCACCTGACAGCTACAGGTAAAAGATGGACCAGCTAAAGTCTCACCTGACAGCTACAGGTAAAAGATGGACCAGCTAAAGTCTCACCTGACAGATACAGGTAAAAAATGGACCAGCTAAAGTCTCACCTGACAGGTACAGGTAAATGATGGACCAGTTAAAGTCTCACCTGACAGCTACAGGTAAAAGATGGACCAGCTAAAGTCTCACCTGACAGCTACAGGTAAAAGATGGACCAGCTTAAGTCTCACCTGACAGCTACAGGTAAAAGATGGACCAGCTAAAGTCTCACCTGACAGCTACAGGTAAAAGATTGACCAGCTAAAGTCTCACCTTGTTACCAGCTACAGGTAAAAGATTGACCAACCAAAGTCTCACCTTCTTTACAGATACAGGTAAAAGACTGACCAGCTCAAGTCTCACCTTGCGACCAGCTACAGGTAAAAGACCAACCAGCTAAAGTCTCACCTTCTGCACAGCTACAGGTAAAAGATGGACCAGCTAAAGTCTCACCTGACAGCTACAGGTAAAAGACTGACCAGCTAAAGTCTCACCTTCTGCACAGCTACAGGTAAAAGATTGACCAGCTAATGTCTCACCTGACAGCTACAGGTAAAAGACTGACCAGCTAAAGTCTCACCTTCTGCACAGCTACAGGTAAAAGACTGACCAGCTTAAGTCTCACCTTGCGACCAGCTACAGGTAAAAGACCAACCAGCTAAAGTCTCACCTTCTGCACAGCTACAGGTAAAAGATGGACCAGCTTAAGTCTCACCTGACAGCTACAGGTAAAAGATTGACCAGCTAAAGTCTCACCTTGTTACCAGCTACAGGTAAAAGATTGACCAACCAAAGTCTCACCTTCTTTACAGATACAGGTAAAAGACTGACCAGCTCAAGTCTCACCTTGCGACCAGCTACAGGTAAAAGATCGACCAGCTAAAGTCTCACCTGACAGCTACAGGTAAAAGACCGACCAGCTAAAGTCTCACCTTCTGCACAGCTACAGGTAAAAGATGGACCAGCTAAAGTCTCACCTGACAGCTACAGGTAAAAGATTGACCAGCTAAAGTCTCACCTTGCGACCAGCTACAGGTAAAAGACCGACCAGCTAAAGTCTCACCTTCTGCACAGCTACAGGTAAAAGATTGACCAGCTAATGTCTCACCTGACAGCTACAGGTAAAAGACTGACCAGCTAATGTCTCACCTGACAGCTACAGGTAAAAGATTGACCATTTAAAGTCTTACCTTCTGCACAGCTACAGGTAAAAGATTGACCAGCTAAAGTCTCACCTGACAGCTACAGGTAAAAGATTGACCAGCTAAAGTCTCACCTTGTTACCAGCTACAGGTAAAGATGGACCAGCTAAAGTCTCACCTGACAGCTACAGGTAAAAGATTGACCAGCTAAAGTCTCACCTGACAGCTACAGGTAAATGATTGACCAGCTAAAGTCTCACCTTCTTTACAGATACAGGTAAATGATTGACCAACTACAATACAGGTCCCAGAATTTTGACAAGGCAGGCTAGAACAGGCATCCTGAGGTGCTTCACAATTTGTGCCTGAAATTTTTATGTAAGGTTTATCTCGCATTGTGTTGTTTATAGTTTAACTAATTATCACAAATAATTAACATGATGCTTTTTAATTATTAGATTCGTTATGAAACTGACCACTGTATCCTTCTAAACAATTGCATGTGTAGCTTTTTCCTCTTGTTTGACAGGTGCCAGCTTTGCAAGGACTTTGATCACACGGTTTTTTTACTGTGCATAGAAGACATAGAAAGTTGTCTCATTAATAAAATCGAGGACTACATTATGTTAATTATTTTGCATTGGGGTTGCTTTGTTTTAATGTTGTGTTAAGGCCTTCTACTTTGTTGTATCTTCATTTTAAACCCAGCCATTTTATTGGATTGATCAGGAAATAGCACAAATCCCCCCCCCCCCCCCAAAAAATAATTAACATAATGTGTCAAACCGTCAAAATTATACACCTCGCCGGTAAGAGCCAGCTAATGATCACTGCTTAAATTTATTATAATTTATATATATAATTCTCTTCTGGGAGACGCTAGAAAACAAGCTGTAAACGCGCTCCCTACCATCCCAACCCCTACATGGTCTTAGTGAGCTGTGGTTCACGCTATGTTTACCTTCGTGGAGTCGGGTTTAGTGACGGCTATTAGGGGCAGATAATTTAGTTTGAAACGATTTTAAACGTTTGGGGGGGGGGGGGGGGGGGGGGTTAAGGTCCTTAACGAGCTACTTATAGTGTTTTAAAGAAATATTTTCAGTGTCAGCGTTGGTACTGTCGAATTCACAAATTATGAATTACTGAAAAATAGAAAAAACAACAACTAAATAGCAGCGTATGTTATGCCGCGGGCCGGCTCGTAATTTATATTCTCTTAATAAATTATGAGTAACGAATTTAAGGAAACAAAAGTAAGGAAAAAAAATGTATTATACAATCAATAGGATCAACTCTGTTATGCTGAAAAGATACATATATTGTTTTGTCATCTAATAACAGAATTTCTCCCTATTTTAGTAACTTATCATTTTTTTTTTTAAATAATTTTATCAAACATACACAAAAATATATAAATTTCTTACTTTTACTAGTCTTTAATTAAGTGACATTTCTAACCATTACAAACATTGAAACAAAACTAAAATACTTACCTTTACATTCACTCTCTTTACTAGCACCTTTATCTGCTGTCACTTTATCTTCAGGGCACTCAGTGCAGGTTCTGCTGCCATAAGTACTTGTGTAGTAGTTTACTGGGCAGAATGTGCAAGGTTTTCTGCCACTCAGGCTGTAAGTTCCAGGGACACACAACTCTTCTTTAAAGAAACAAAACATAGAAAAAATTCATAAAAAACGTTTTAATAACAAGCTTTTATGTAATGATGCACTAAAAAGTAGAAAATAAATTATAGACTACTATTTAAATAACTATAAAGAAAAGCGTGGGTCACTTTAGTATCTATTGGATACCTTTACTAATGTTAAGGAAGACACCCACGCTTTTCTTTATAGTTATTTAAATAGTAGTCTATAATTTATTTTCTACTTTTTAGTGCATCATTACATAAAAGCTTGTTATTAAAACGTTTTTTATGAATTTTTTTTTCAGTACTTTACATGTTTTATTTACAATAGAGTTACATGACTAAAAACCATTGCGCGCCTACTGAACATCACGTTCAGTAGGCGCGCAATGGTTTTTGAACGCAGCCATTACGAGATGGCGCAGCTATTGAAGGTGATGACGCGTGTGGTGTGGTTGGCTAGACATGCCTACTAATTCTGTCCAAATTTTTATTAATTAATAAAAAATTAATTAGGCATCCAATTAAGTCAAATTTAGTTTCAGATTGCATTGTCTTCATGTCTTGACCCACGTGCCAACTGTGAATCGTATCGGTCAAGTAGAACTGTCCGAATTTTCACTCCTGCGTTTCCGTCTAGACAGACAGACAGAGGAAGTGAGTTAAATAAAAGCTTGTAAAAAAAATTCATAAAAAACGTTTTAATAACAAGCTTTTTATGTAATGATGCACTAAAAAGTAGAAAATAAATTATAGACTGCTATTTAAATAACTATAAAGAAAAGCGTGGGTCACTTTAGTACTTTAGTACCTTTTGGATACCTTTACTAATATTTGAGAAGAGACCCACGCTTTTCTTTATAGTTATTTAAATAGCAGTCTATAATTTATTTTCTACTTTTTAGTGCATCATTACATAAAAAGCTTGTTATTAAAACGTTTTTTATGAATTTTTTTTCAGTACTTTACATGTTTTATTTAGTTACATGACTAAAAACCATTGCGCGCCTAATGAACATCACGTTCAGTAGGCGCGCAATGGTTTTTGAACGCAGCCATTACGTGATGGCGCAGCTAGTGAAGGTGATGACACGTGTGGTGTGGTTGGCTAGACATGCCTACTAATTCGGTCCAAATTTTTATTAATACATAAAAAATTAATTAGGCATCCAATTAAGTCAAATTTAGTTTCAGATTGCATTGTCTTCATGTCTTGACCCACGTGCCAACTGTGAATCGTATCGGTCAAGTAGAACTGTCCGAATTTTTACTCCTGCGTTTCCGTCTAGACAGACAGAGGAAGTGAGTTAAATAAAAGCTTGTAAAAATTGTGAACCTTGTAAAAGAAAGGAAATGTTTCAGCAATATAGGCAACTTATTCACAAGAAAAATCATTTCAATGAACTGCCAGTATAATATTCTCATGTTTCTGTGGCTTCAATGTTCAATGTGATTGTGTAATCAAAATATTGAATAGATTCAATGGATGGCATTCAAAGGAATAGTCTGACAAGATTGGGCACAAGCAGTGTCAAAGGGATTGTGCTGCCTATGTACCAGGGGATTTTGTAACCAGCACAATGACAGGATTGGGCATGGAAAAAATGACAAGGACATTGTGGTGCCTATGTACCAGGGCATTCTGTGGCCAGTACAAGGTCAGGATTGGGCATAGGCAGTGTCAAGGACATTGTGGTGCCTAGCTACCAGGGGATTTTGTGGCCAGTACAATGACAGGATTGGGTAAGGAAAAATGACAAGAACATTGTGGTGCCCATGTACCAGGGGATTTTGTGGCCAGTACAAGGTCAGATTTGGCATAAAGGGAGACTACCATAGTAGAATGTATTCATAACTAATCCATTTAAAAAATTCTGCTAATATTAGTAATCTTGATCTCCTAGTTATCAATAACACATTGATAAAATTATATGATTCTCCGCACCTAAATAAATAAAGATTTTAAAAAAGATAAAATACTAACCAGCACATTTATCAGATTGTTTACATTCCTCACATGAATTGGAGTGATTGTTTGGCTGATAAAAATTGACAGGACAAGGTAAACATGGCTTCAAACCAGTTGGTGAGTATTCATTTGGACCACAGGGTTCTGTAACAGGAAGTTTAAGTTATTTCAATTAAATATTTTATGAGAATTTCAATGCTGTCATATAATACAGTGGAGAAATATAACTGTAGCAGTTTTTTGTCAGTGTCAGCTTTCTGTCAGTCAGGTAGTCATGTCAGTCTTTTCTTTATGTTGACATTTTCTTCTTGTCACTTTCTTTATACGTATTGGGCTTTTATTTGTGTTGGCCATCTGTCCATTTAAGTCATTTATCTATTTTAGTTATTAGTTTGAGTTGGCCATAATAGTCATTTATCTATTTTAGTTATTAGTTTGAGTTGGACATAATAGTCATTTATCTATATTGGCCATAAGTTTGGGTTGGCCATCTGTCGAAGTCTATGTTGGCCAATCGTCCCTAATGACCTCATCCATGTAAAATGCCCACTAAATAATCACCTCTAAGCTATGAGGGAAAAAATAAGCTGGCAAGCCCTTGGTACATCTCAATCATAGATCTAAAACTTTCGACATTTTAAAAACTAACAGCAAAAAAATGTATTCTTTGAACTATACTCAATCATAGCTCTAAAAGTTTCAACATTTTAAAAACTAACGCCAAAAAATACATTCTTTGAACTATACTCAGTCATGGTAATGGGATGGCATGGCCTAAGTGGTAGAGCACTGGGCTACTAACCCGAATGTCTCAAGTTCAAATCCAGGTCCAAGTCTTTAGACTGTCTTGAGCCTAACCAGCTCTGATGGGTGTCTAACTAATGTTAGGGAAAGTAAAGACGGCTGGGCAAAGTGCTGACCAATCATATGCCAAGGTCAAGAAACATGAACTCTACTTCATTTGCCCAATGGATCGCTAGGTCTAAAGCGGAATCTTTACTTTACTACCAATCATAGCTCTAAAGCTTACACCATTTTAAAAACAAACATTGTAAAACATGTATTATTTGAAATCTACTAGACATACCAAAGCAGTCATATATATAGATAGTCCCTTGAATTGCTGTGGTAAGGCCTTTACCACAAGCTGAGCATTGTGTAGCATATGGCTGGCTCTGGTAGGAGCCAATGGGACACTCATTGCATCTATCCTGAGAATTATATGTTCCTGGAGGGCATTCATCTGACATAAACAAAAAAAATAATTAAATAACATAGTCGGTAACTAAATCTAAATCTAAATTGGGGAACATTAAGCAATATTATCAACCAAAAAATTATCAACCAGAGAATACCTGAAAACAATTTTCAAGAGAGCAATTTATTTGAATACTTTTTCTTTAAACAAATTCTGAATGTAAAGTTTTGTCAAATTTAAATGAAAACAAAAGCTGTTTAATACATTACCACTGGCAGCACACTTAAGGGAACTGTAGTTCCATTGGCCATGGCTGACACAAACAAATTCTGATTTTGGCTTTCCGATATTCAGTAAATTTTTGCCAGGCGGACACTGCGCGTGACATACACATTGCTTTGTGGGAGGAAACATGAACGTTACATTTAATTAAACAAAACAGAAATTTCTTAACACTTCAATCTTGCTATAGTTTAACTACCTAGATATAGTTGTATTGTTTAAATAAATCAGTGGGATACAGTTTAATGTGTTTATCCCTCTCCATACCCTATCTATATGGAATAGCGTTGTTGAAAGGCAATTGACTACTAACTTGAAAGTCTCGACTTTGGATCTGATGGGTACCTGACTCAATTAGGCAAAGTAAAGGTGACTGGGCATAAAGCTGACCACACGATCCCTTTATAAACTGAGGTCACTGAAACAGTGAACTCTACTTCACCTGCCCCCGTTTACTATAAAAGGGTACTTTGTACCCTGTAAATGTCCTGTGTTCAACCCAGGGTAGTTTAAGGGCTAAATTGTTTTTATCAGCTCATATGACAAACCTTATTTTTATTTTTCTATACCTTGGATCAAACCTTTTGTTTGTCACATTCACACAATTCTTAGCTTAGTTTTTGTTTACTTTCTCCTTCTGTTCCCTTCAATGAATTTTGTAATGCTAACATGCTAGATATGTACCAGCACATTCACAACAGGTGATTGACAATAACAGTACAATGATAAACAAGATTTACATTGTTTTTCTTTTCACAGACTTTTTGTACATCAGATGAGCTGGGCAAACTCCATTCTGGGCAGTCTTTAGCTGCAAGACAAAATGTTGGGATAAAATAGTTTAATGGACATCTCGCTGCTGGGCAACATGTCATATTATAAAATAGGATCCAGTGGCGGAACTAGAAAAAAAGGGCCACCCCTCAAAAAAAAATTCTTAGGCCCCCCCTATATATATATATATATATATATATATATATATATATATATATATATATATATATATATTCAAACAGAAAATACGAACATAGGATACTCATTGCAGGCCTGTTCGGTTTTAATAAAAAAAAGTTTTTTTTAATTAAAACAAATTACAACAACAGGTCATGTATGTAAGTGCATTAGTGTGATCTGTGAAAATCGGTTTTATTTTATCTCTGCTATATAACCTTTTACCCTCTAGTCGGTCAAAAGAATATAAACCATGAAAGCTTTGTATAAGTTATGGTGTCTCATGTTATGTTTATTTTTATAGTTTTTTTGTATTTATATTAGGCCCTATTAATTTTAAATACATTTTCTTTTTATACAGTGCCATTCGTTAAGTACTTTATAAAAAAATAATAATTCAAAGAAATAATTGCTTTTTAATTTGTTTAGTACAAATCTATTACAAGGAGCTTTGACTATTTAAAAAAGGGAAATAAGTCATGGAAGTGGCTTGCTTATCTTTGATTAGTTTCATTGTAGGAGAAAGAGGATGTCTTTCAGAGTGGTTTAATAAAAAAGGGAAAGAGAATATACAAGAGCATGGGGTGGTGTCTATAGAATAAAGATAATCCAACCGTAGCTACGGTAATCTTTTTTACAAAACATCCATCAAGTCGAAAATGCACAAAAATATTTTTTTTAACAATAAAAAATTGACTATGGTCGGCTGTGGGCCCCTAAATGGCGTGGGCCCCCCCGCATTGCGGGGTCTGGCGGCACTGTAGTTCCGCCCCTGATAGGATCCTTTCAATCTCAATTTTTGTCAGTATTCAGGGTATGGGACTTGTCCAACAGTAGAGCACTTGGCTGCTATCCCAAGGTTCCCAGCCTTGAGTCAGTTGTCCCAGAGTCTACCCAGCTCTAATGGGTATCTGACTCATGCTGGAGAAAGTAAAGGCAGTTGGGATAGTGCTCACTACACTATCGCTTCATATGCCGAGGTCACAGCAACTCCACTTCATCTGCCCTATGAACCACCAGGTTCAAAGGGGTAACTTTATTCAACACACGATATTTTTAAAACTTTATTATCTTAATCAAATAATTTTAACCTCCTTTTAAGTTAATTTCTAAGAATTTTGATCTAATAGATAATTATAGTTTACCTAATGATTTGGTGAATATATTCAACTTCACCCCCTCCATCCCCTAACTAAAGCAAGGTAACTTGAAAAAGCTAGTGCTCCTAAAAGGTAGCATTATATAAAAATTGACACCAATTTATGAAATGAAACAAAAGAAAATACTTTAAATCCATGTAGCTAGATTTTTAAAAATGCAGTGTTTTAACAAGTAGACTTGTTGATAAAGCTATCAGAAACTTACGCCGAATGTGCAGGAAAAATTTACAGCTGGCCACATTTCCACTTGGATCCACAGCTTTCATGAGCACTTGAATGTTTCTCATAGATTGTTGCATGGTACCCTCTGGTGGATCATAGGAGACCTGGTACTCCCCACTGTTATCTGTTACAGAGATGCCTAGATTCTTGTAGGAGAGAGGAAGTTCTTCCATCGACTCTTCATCTATGATCTCTAGAGGTTTAGCAGGACAATCTATTATGGGAGGCACCAAATCTGGAAACAAAATGTTCAAAGTTGATTAGCATTCTATGTTAGGAGGCGCCAAATCTGGGGACAAAATGTTTAGAAATCAATGATGGGAGGTAACAAATCTAGGAACAAAAACATAAATTTAGCTACCCAGTATTATAAAAAAATTTAAAAGCCTATTGTTTAAATAACAAAATTAAGTTAAAGAAAAACTAGCAAATACATTTTGCAGCTCATGTGACACCTTTTTTATTTACAATATTCCTGAAGTGGAGAGTTGGAGTTGCTACAAGAAGTATTTTAAATTTTACATTTAAAATTTTAATAAAGAAATAGTTCACTTCATCTGCTAGCCATGAAATGGAAATTACATGGTGAGCAAAGCTCACCTGATTTCACAACATTACAGATTCATATTTCATATCTAAGATTTAACTAACATTACAGATTCATATTTCATATCTAAGATTTAACTAACATTACAGATTCATATTTCATATCTAATATTTAACTAACATTACAGATTCATATTTCATATCTAAGATTTAACTTTCATTACAGATTCATATTTCATATCTATGATTTAACTAATATTCCAGATTCATATTTCATATCTATGATTTAACTAATATTCCAGATTCATATTTCATATCTATGACTTAACTAACATTACAGTCTACACAATATGTCTGAATATTATTCCAAATAAAACTATATATCAAACAAGTAGATATGCCCAAATATAAATGCAACATATACATGTAGCATTTTTAATTTTCCCAGATTTTTAAAATGTATTCACAAAGCCAAATAATTTTTTTTTCTTACCTTCAATGATGAATTTTATTTTACATGTGGCTTTGTTTCCTACTTCATCAATTGCCTCAATGATCAGCGTTGTATTCTACAAGCGTAAGAAAATTATAATGCATTTTATTCTAGTTAGATATCACACAGTGAAAATGGAAATAACTGTTTTCTACAAAGAGAACACCTCAATTTTTTTTTAAAAGTTAAAATTAAATACAAATGATAGAATAAAGAGCTTAACAATGTATGCTTAACAAGTGCAACAATTTTTTTAAAATAAGTAGAATGTATTTTTAAAAGTTGGTAAAAACTTAAATGTTTTCATACAAATTTTATATAATTTTAACATCTATTGTGACATAACATTTGCATGATAATTTTACCTGCCATAAACTACACATTAGCATTGTAAACAAAAACAGGGAGTTTACCTTAGTAAATAGGTAAGGCAGCTTGAAGTCTGAGGGCGTGTACACTATAGTTGGCTGGACACCTGAGTTATCCGAGGCTGTTGGCAGTTGCACAAACCGGGGCACCTGGGTGAAATTATTTAGTGGCACCACAACAGGCTTGTCCGGGCAGTTGTTGAAGACAGGAGGGGCTACATCTAAAATATTAGAAAAACATTTTTCAGTTATTAATGGCGTGATTAATGGCTAACAATCTAAAAGGCTGTAGTCCTTTGGTTAGATTTCTAAAATTATCTACTAAACTATGGAGTTATGCCCCTTTGCTCTGAAAACTACACCACTGGGGAGTTTTTGCCTTTTGATTTTATTACCAACAGAAAATCTTAGTAGATGTTGCTCTTTGGTTTCATTACTAATAGAAAATATTAGGAAATATAGCCTGTTAGTCTGATTATTATCCAGCAATCTTTGTAATTATTGCTCCATGGCCAATTAATGACAGGTAACTGGTGGCTAGTTTACAGTTTATATTTAAACAGTTGAATAATTCTACCGCAGCAATGCTTTAAGATTTCAGACTTCAGTCAAACAGATAATGAGGTGAATGACAGCAGGACATTACCCTACCCCCACCCACTCTCTGTAATTGACAGGGATAATGTTCTAGGTCTCAGTTGAAAGTAAGGGGTCTGCATGGTAGCTAAACCAAAAAGTCACGAGTTTAGAAACCTCCAAAATAACAACTACTGCCCTGCGGTTTGTTCTTAAAAGCTGGTGTTAAGAATTCTGTAAGCCAATTAGTAAACGGAATACACCACTCACCAATGCAAGCTGGTATGCTCTTGTTCCACCTTGCCCATTTTGTCTCGAGAACTGATGCGTCTCGTTTATACCTGCCAAATTTGTTTCCACCTGAAGGGAAAATTAAGGCATTTGTTAGCAGTACATCCACTGTAGGCAGTTATATAATAGTAGTGGGGAGAGGACTGAATGTTCCAGTGAAATGGCAGGGAGATTACTGTAAGAAGATGGAGTGAATTCCATTGTTAATCTGAAGGTACCTAACTCTATTCAGGGAGAGTAAATGTGGCTGGGCATAATGATGACGACACAATAATTTGATTTGCCTGACTCTAAGAAACGGTTCCATGACAAATGATCTCAGGACAAATGATCTCAGACAAAATTTTTACTTTTGAATCAAATGCTACGACAAAGTTTAATAAATCTTTTGATGGTTTGCTAGGTTTAACAAATTCATTTTATTCTCAATTATTATGCGTAAACGAGTAAACAAACCGATATTAACAGTCAATAAAAAATAAGTTCAAATCAACTAAAATCATCGTACACACTATTAAAATTTCCCTGTGAGATATTTTGTCTGAGATATTTTGTCTGAGATCATTTGTCCTGAGATCATTTGTCCTGTCACCCTAAGAAACATATAAACTCTACCTCATTTGTCCTATAGATCATAAGGTCTAAAAGAGTATTTTACCTAACTCTTAACATTGATACTACAAAGCAAGTAAATTTGTGAATATTACAGTACCATTTCCTGATCCATTTGGCTGTTGAGAATTCTGTGAGCTGGAAGGAATGCATTTGTTTGTCTGCCTGTCAAACGAGTACTGGGACAAGCACAGCCACTGATGGTTGGTGACAGCAAACTTGGCCGGCGCTGTCAACCTGGTGCCGCAGTCTTCCAGCACGCTGTCCACCATGTGGCTGGTGGCATCAGATAAAGCTGTGCCCAGGTGGAGAAACAGCTCCTGCATGCACTGCCTGCTGTCGTTATTGCTGTCTCTCAGGCTGATCAACACCAGAGGGAGGTTCAGTGTTACCTGTGGAGATAAAATGATATAATCATACAGATAACATAATCTTATCTCTCATACAAATAGGATGTTCAGAGTTTCATGTGGAGTTAAAAGGATATAATCATACAGATAACATAATTTATCTCTCACACAATGTTCAGAGTTTCCTGTGGAGATAAAAGGATATAATCATACAGATAACATAGTCTGATCTCTCACACAAATAGGATGTTCAGTGTTATCTGTGGAGATAAGGGATATAATAATACAGATAACATAATTTATCTCTCTCACAATGTTCAGTGTTTCCTGTGGAATAAAAGGATATAATAATACAGATAACATAATTTATCTCTCACACAAATAAGATGTTCAGAGTTTCCTGTGGAGATAAAGGGATATAATTACACATTATATAATGATGTTACTGTTATATATCTCATCGAGAGCAGATGAGGCTAGATAGCTGGGGACAGAAAAACTCCAAAATAAAAAAATCTGCTGCTTTGTAGTTTGTTCTTGGATTGACAAAGCAAATCCAAAAAAAAAAAATTGAAATCAGAGTTGAAACTTAACTGTATTGGAGGAACACCCGCCCAACATTACAATTTTAAATCGAAGAAGAAGAAATATATCTCATGTGAGGTTTTATAGTTTATAAAATATGTGATATCATATATCTCACACCATTGCATATAAATTATGTGAAGGCACATATCTGCAAAGCATTGTTGGATGGTTCACAGTATGACTGGTAACCTGAGAGTCTCGAGATCATCTTCATCTGACCAATGGACCACCAGGTTTATAAAGGTAACTTTTTTTTGTCATAAATACCTCACAAATTATATACAAATAATGTGAGGTCACGTACAACATTTTCATAATACTGATTTTTATTTAAATCTCTTTTTGAAAATGGTGGGTATTCTGCATATTTACACTAAGCTCTATAATGATACAGATTATTTTTTTTTACCACAGTGATTAAATCAACATAATGACTGCCTTCATTTAAAATATATTGCTAACAACCTCAATAGTCAGCCTTTACACACTAAAACTTCACCACTTTTTAATAAAAGTACCCCATGCTGTTCACACATAATGATAACCTTAGCCTAAACACATGTGAATCTCACCATTTGGCTTGCGAATTCCACAGTTTCCTTTTTGTGTAAAATTAAAACACCATCCGTTGTGTTACAGAGCTCCTTTCTCATCATGCCATCTTTTATTCCTAAAATAATTTCATTATTCAAGTGTCGGGCTGAGTTGAAGATCACATTTTCACAAGGCTTGTCTTCAATTTGTCCAGAGAAATTTAAAGCAATATTTGTTGCATAGATTACTAAGCTTTCTGAAGAAGAAAATATTTAGAAGAGAAATTTGAGATTGATAAAATGATTAACTTTAAGAAAATTAAAAATAAAAAGTGTTTTATGTACTGCTAAAGTTTTTTTTTATAATGTGTTAAAGATATTAAGGGGGGACCCTTAGTCGACTTTCTTAAAAAATTTCAATTTTTCCTCTAAAATTAGTTTATCTTACTTTTTTGTGATTTTGATATCTAGTGAAGATTAGCATTGATTTTTTTTTTGTAAATTGAGTACATTGCTGTTTTCCCCAACAATGTTATCGGAAAAGTAATTATTTGTCAAGGTTATTCATTATTTAGCTAAGACAAGATATTCTGTGTACTAAACATTTTAAAGATGGGGGGAGTGGGGAAAATGTGTAATATTTCAATGTTGGTGGAGGATGGGATCATGAAAGAAAGATTGTATCACAGAATAGTGCTAGGAGATGTTTCAAGGATAAGTTTAATCTATGTAAAGAAAACTGGGCAATTAACAGACAACAGCTGAGAATATGAGTAGCAGACAAAATTATATATTACAGAATTAGATGGTTTGAAAAATAAAACTGCTGGGTATTTTTTCAATATATGTGATCTTGCTTAAACCCTTTTAAACAGACTTTAAAAATTATATTCCAACTTACTTTGTATACATCTGAAATTGAATTCATCATAGTAATAGTCCTCAGTGCAGTAAAACTTGGTATAGTTGATGTCAGATCTGAGCTCGTTGTGTTTGAGGTTGACAGGGGTACAGATGGGTATCAGCTCTCTGGTCAGGTTTAATGACGGCAGGCGTTGTGACACATCACGCATTTCTATAGACAAGAACTTGGTGCAGTTGATGAACGTCTGTTTGCTGATGTCCTCCTTCAAGGCGTACAGATGTGCTATGATCTGTATGATCACCTGATGGGTAATAATAGAAATAGTGGGTAAAAAACAGGTCTAAAATCAAAGTTAATTCTATTTTCTATAATACAACATGTGTTTACATGATTAAAAATGGTGATGCAATGAAAATTTCTATGAAATATAGATTTTAAATTCATACACAGTTGAGAAAAAAAATTTTAAATCCTTTTTTTCCTACAAATTTTTTTTTTATAAATTACTAAATTTTATTAGATTAAAATTTTATAAAATAATTAAAACATTTGAAACAATTAGAAGCAGGAAAAAAATTAGTTTTCTAAAAAAATAGAAGTTAAGATTAAGATCTGCATTGGATAAATAAACAAAAATATGACATAATCTCCCTTTTTTGACTGACCATTTGGACCTTGACTGTAACTTTGACACCATTAGCTAGCACAATGTAGATCCCATCACACTGGATGTAGCGTCGTTGTATGTAAGCCTCCACTTGGGTGAGTGCTCGGACCAGGCCTTCCTTGTACTCACTGGCACACAGCTGGTCCAGTTTGTCATGCAGAAACAGGGGGCTGAAGTTACCTACAAAGGTCAGGTTAGCCCTAGGGATACTTGCTACAGGTGTGCTGGATACCTGAGGCAAAACCTCTTGCAGGCACCTACAATACATTTAAATTATAACTAAAATTACTGGCATTGTGAGTTGAACACATGGTTAAATATAACAAGAAAAAACATTTACAGTATAATACTATGAAAACTATAGATAGGATGGTGGTTGTCCGAAGTACAGTCCCTTGAGCTAGAAGACTCGGCCCAGTTGGGTACCTGGTCTATGTTGGGCTGAGCATAATACTAGTTGTACACAAAATCATTTGTATAGATCTACATGTACACTCTGCTTCATCTCCCTTAATAATTTTCAGGTTACAAATCTACTTCAAAATAGGTAATCAATAGAACAGCTTTACTTCACCTGCCCTATCACCCATTTGTCACTCAGCTACTACAAACAACACAATATTTAAAACAATTAAAGAAATCATCCACTGAGTAAAAGGGAAGACACTACAATGTACAAACAACAAAATATTGTAGACTCACATAAAAGCTTGTCAAGTGTGTAACAGATAAACTCTACTCCACATACCCTATTACCAATCAGGTCCCAAAGCTACAACACAAACAACAGACTCACATAAAGAGGAGGTCGTCTAGTGTGTAACAAGTAAACTCTACTCCACCTACTCTATTACCCACCAGGTACAAAAGCTAAAATAAAAACAATGCAACAGACTCACATAAAGAGGAGGTCGTCTAGTGTGTAACAAGTAAACTCTACTCCACCTACTCTATTACCCACCAGGTACAAAAGCTAAAATAAAAACAATGCAACAGACTCACATAAAGAGGAGGTCGTCTAGTGTGTAACAAGTAAACTCTACTCCACCTACTCTATTACCCACCAGGTACAAAAGCTAAAATAAAAACAATGCAACAGACTCACATAAAGAGGAGATCATCCAGTGTGTAACCACTATGGCAGCTCCAGCCCTTATAGGGAAACTTGAACTCCGCACCTGTGTAGCTCAGAGACTCGCAAAACGAGGGCAGCACCTTGCTCTCAACACTCAAGAACTTTTTCTGCAGCTCGGAGTAGGTGAATCGTACAAACTCTTCCGCGCACCGTTCCACCTGCTGTCTGCTGGAGTTTTGGTAGACGATGTGAAACTTCAGGTAAATTTTTGCCTGGTGAGGGAATTCAAAGGTTTTTATCAAGGTGTTATCTAATAATGGCAATCTAAAACATTTTAAAAAGTATCTAAAAGAAACTATCAAAAACAAAACAAATAATAAAAAATAAAAATACTAATGTTTAGACCAATTTATTTATCAATAACTAAAATATTTTATTTTATAATTGCAACAGTTCTATAATGTCTTCTGTTATTTTTTTCAATAACGAATGAAAATAACATGCAGAAAATAAATGAAATCATTTCTTAAAAATAAATCATTCTATCAGAATTTTTAAAACATTTTTAACCTTCAAACCCAACAATATAAGGTTTTCAAATTAAAAAGAAACATTAACACTTAATACATAAATAACCAACATTTGAGTTGTGTAATTACAAGAAATTTTAACTGGCATAAAAAAACGTACAGTGCTTCCTTTAAACTTGATGTTGCCAGAGACCAACTCCAGGGAGGCGTCAGGGGCGGCCCCACACACCATATTCCCCATCTCATTCCCAAACTCCCTCAACAGCTCGTTGACTTTAATGTTGACATTGACGTGAACAGCGTTCAGACAGGTGTTGTTTGAAAAACTGCCAGTCATCCCATCAGAAACTTCCACTAAGTAGAATGGTATGGTCACTGGGGATTACAATCATATCGTATGGTCATTGGGGATTACAATCACATGGTATGGTCACTGGGTATACAATCACATGGTATTGTCACTGGGGATTACAATCACATGGTATGGTCACTGGGGAATACAATCATATCGTATGGTCATTGGGGATTACAATCACATGGTATTGTTACTAGGGAATACAATCACATGATATGGTCATTGGGGATTACAATCACATGGTATTGTCACTGGGGATTACAATCACATGGTATTGTCACTGGGGATTACAATCACATATGGTCACTGGGGATTACAATCACATGGTATGGTCACTGGGGATTACAATCACATGGTATGGTCACTGGGGATTACAATCACATGGTATTGTCACATGGGATTACAATCACATGGTATGGTCACTGGGGATTACAATCACATGGTATTGTCACATGGGATTACAATCATTGCTATTTCTAAAATAAAATGTAATTTAACCAACTTTAAAAATTTCAAAGAATGATAATCAATTTTTAAAATGATTTATCCACAAACTGCTCAATTAAACAAGTGAATGCTTTGGAATAATGAGAATATCAGACAAAAACTTTGTCCTTTAAATTAACTAACTATTCATTAAAAATATAGTTTAATTATTTTTTTAAAAGAAAGAATTCTATAAGAAAGTATCATGCAAACTTAACAGTGCTGCATGAATATTTATTTTCAGTATTTTCTGGTTGAACTATTTTTATAGTCTTAGATCTAAAGTGCAATTTATTTTCATTAAAGTAAAGGTCAAGATATTTAATTTTAAATTTAAATGTGCATCAATTCTAGTTCCTAAGTATCTAAAAAATCAAAGAATTCAACAAATTGAATTATGAACATGCAAGAGTCTAATACTTACAGTTAACAGCTATTGATGTAGGCTCCTGCGCTTGAGTTTGTTTCTCTTTGGTGTGATTTATGAAGCACTCTGTCCTGTTGGCATTTTTACCTCTGTTGGCTGAAGATTTGTTGCCATGGTGTTCTGAGCTTGAGTTCAACTCAGTGCAGTCCGAGCTGGTGTTGAAAGATTTTATGTTGTCTGTTATGTTCCCTGTCCACTGGTCATCTGTGGCACTGATGGGTTCACTGTCCTGTCCTTTGGATGTTGATGTACTTGGGAATGTGGAGCTGAAGTTGGTGCTCACAGACAGTGGGGTTTCTGACATTAGATGTCTGGTTGGGTTGGGACTGGGGGTGATTGTGGAGGGTGTGGTTGCTTCAGTAACAGGTGTGGGTGTGGTTGGTTCAGTTATTGTTTGCCTGGGTGTCATAGGTTTAAACGTGGGTGGTTCAGGTTTCGCTGTGGGTATTTCAGGTTTGGGTGTGGGTGTCTCTGGTTTTGGTGTGGGTGGATCAGGTTTTAGTGTGGGCGTTTCTGGTTTGACTGAGGGTGTCGCTGGTTTTGGTGTGGGTGTTACGGATTTCAGGGTAGGAGTCTCAGGTTTTTCTGTAGGTGTTGCAGTTTTCAGCGTGGATGTAGCAGGTGTTGGTGAGGATGTTGAGGGTTTTGGTGAGGATGTTGAGGGTTTTGGTGAAGATGTTGCAGCTTTCGGTGTGGATGTCACAGGATTTGGTGTTGATGTTGTTGTTTTTGTGTTGCCAGTGGTTGTGGGTAAATAGTCTGTATTATATGAGCCGAATTCTGTGGATGTTTGGGATTCAGTTGTAGCTGTTGTATGTATTGTTGTTATATAGTAATGTTCTGTTGTTGTATGGTACTGATCTGTTATTACGCTGGTATGGTAGTTCACTGTTGGTGGTACGTCATCTTTAACAGTTGTAGAATCTGTTACTTCAAAGAAGCTTGAAAAAGTAGAAGCTGTTGTCGAATAAAATCCACTTTCTTCAGTAGTGGATGACAGAGGTGAGGTTGGAGGGACTGTTGTGGTGATTAGCGGTGTCTCCTGGTAAGTGGAGTCACCTGTTCCAGCAGGCATAATACAATCTGAAAAATGTAACAGAAAAACATTTAAAGTTTATTAGGCAAAATGTTTCAACCTTTAAGTCAACCATTTTTTAAAAAATCAACTGCAAAATTTAGTGCCATTGATATTGATTTTATAAAAGCTTTATAGATGTGTCTTTTAATTATTGGGGCCAAGGATCTTAATTTAATATTTGGTGGCAGTGCTATAAGAATCATCTATGACATGAGACACTGTGTGCTACAGAAATTTTTTAAATTTTGTTTATATTTTAGGTGAATTAATTTCAAAATCTAGGGAACTAAGAATTAACTATAACAACTAATTAGTTAAGCCCAGGTAAAGAAAACAAACCCCACCTTCCATACAGACAGGCCTTGAACTGTCATCACAGGACTTCCCGTTCAAACTGAGTCCTAGAGGACAATCAAATGAGCTGGTCACCGTCAGGGAGGACTGAGGTTTAAAGCTGACCTCCGGGCAGCTGACTGGAGTAAAAGCCAGCTCCCCCTGGAACTTTCCCAGAGACACATCCTGGATAAACCTGACAAATCTCTGGACATGCTCACACAGGTCTAGTGGTTCTGTGGTTGTAGTGGTGAGGGACAGAGACACAGTGATGTTCATTGTAGGCTGTAGAGGTAAGTACACAGAATAGTTAGTGTTTCATTTAGATCACTCAATGGTTATTTATTTGATGAAATATAAGTTAAAAGAACAGTCTGTAAGTTTCTTCTTCTTCTTCTGCATTCTTAATTTAGTTAATGGTGGAGGATTTAAAGAACAAGTCCAACTTCGTGTATGAAATGGACTGTGGTCTCCAGATCCGCTGTGCCCCGTATAGTTTTTCCTTGAATGAGGTGTATAGGGGCCAGTGTTTGGATCGCGCCTGGCTATATAAGGAACAGTCCTGAAGGACGTGCTTTGTATTCTCCGGGGCCATGCCACATGGACAATTTTCGCCAGACCCAACTTATATTTTTTGTGCATGTGCTGTTTTAGTCTGTTGTGGCCTGTTCTGAGTCTGAAGATTATGTGTTGTTTGCATGTCTGTAAGTTTCTAAAACTATGGTAGTTGTGGTTACAATTTATGTTCAGTTTTCACACTACCCTCTTTCCCCCCCCCCCCTAATCAGGGTATAAATAACAACTGGGTGAACTCTGGAAGGGTCCATACACTCGAAGAATTGATTTATTTAAGAACATTTTTAATAAGCAATTGTATAGCTCAAATACTGAGTGAACTAAAGGATGATCTACAAACTCAAAGAACAGTTTATTAATGTCATATGAGCAATTGCTTGATCGGATGCTGAGTTAACTAAGGGATGGACTACAAGATGAAAGAATGGTTTATAACTTTAACTTAAGCAATTTTATACTTCAGATATTCAATCAAATCATTCTCTGGTATAACCGATAACTAACTCACAGTAATTAACACCATGAAACTGATTTCAAAGGAAATTCTAAAATTGTTTTTAATGACATTCTAAGCACAGGTCAAAATATAACTTTAAAGGGAGAATTAGCTCAAAGCCAATAAAGTACTGTCCTTCTATGAAAATAGATAGAAATGAAATATAAGCTTTGTAACTTCACAGTATTATAAATGAAATAAAAATTGTATCCAAATTATTGAGTAATAAAGTTAAGCAATTTTGTTATGATGCTTCAGTATTTTTCACTTTTTCATTTTTAAGCGAAAAATTTAAAACAAATAATCCTACTGTAATATTTTTAAAATGAATGAAAATAAAATCTTACATTAAATCTGTCAAAACTGTAGATGGCGCTCCCCGCTTTAGAAATTTCTAAGCTGTGCGTTACATTCAGTTTCAACCCCTCTTCCCTGACTCTGTTGATAATCTCAATCATCTTTTCGCCATAGGAAGACCTACATGCATTCACTAAAATAAATTGGTCTCTGAAGATTACTAGCTCTACTTGCACTGCCAAATACACCACAGGCTGCAAGATGGACTGTTTTGTTTCAAACTTAGGGACACACGTAAGCTGGCTTTCGTCTGAAATAGGAAATAAAGATAATAAATATTTAACTGTTAGAAAAAATTTCTAATAGAAAGAAAATAATATTAATATAAATTATTAATTTTTTTTCATTGTACAAGTATATTAATATAATTATGATTTTAAAAAGGGATAATGTGGTCCACTGGTAGAGCACTATATTTTCAACCTAAATTTTTGAGTTCAAATCACAGGCTCCAGTCAATTTGACTTTCCTAACCCCCTGACTCTCATAAAGTAAAGGCAACTAGGTGAATTGTTATCACTTCATCTACCAAGGTGTGAGAAACTGATTAACTCTACTTCATCTGCACTCAGTGGCATTGCTAGGGCGAGTGTCACCCGGTGCTGCACCTAATGTGAAGGTTGGTGTCATCTCCCACACCGCTTGATAGGTCTAAAATTTGCACGATAATAGTAATGATGTTAATCTATAGTTGGTTATTAATACAGCTTGATGTAACATTGTTTTCTCTATAGCAAGTTTACAGCATGGTGTCACTCCCCACTTGTCTGGATTCATCAATTTTGATTTTAAAAGACAATTTAACTCTAATTAATCATTAAAATGGAATGATCATTTATCTATATATATTTTGCTATTTTTGCCTTGGAGTCAACCCCCCCCCCCCCTTGCTACACCCCTGTCTGCACTATGGACCTTATTTTATTGATGTTAAGTTGTATAACCTGAAAGTGCATAGCCATCTTTACAAATAAAGCTGACTTGTGTTCCAACAGCAAATCCAGGTGAGTACTCGGACAAATTAACATATTGGGAAACTCCAGGATGTGGACACGACTGGACTGAAGAAAAAACCAAATCATGTGGGTTAACTTTTTATGAAACAAATTATACTTCAACATTACAAGGTAGGCCTATAACCATGAAAGAGGCTTAAATTAAGAGAAAAAAATGTTTAACTAAATTATTTATTAGTCTAATAACATCCAGAGATGGATTGAGGTGTTTAGACAGAATCCCAGGCATCTGATTCAGAGATCATATAACATATGAAGAAGTCTATGAACGAATCACCACTGTGACTGGTCCCGTTGAGAACCTATTAAGTATTGTTAAAGCAAAGACACTAAGATGATTTGGACAAGTGACATGACCCAACAGCCTAACGTAAACAGTCATGCAGAGCATGGTGCCAGAGTATGACGGAGGCAAAGACAACATTGGATGGAGGAGGCAAAGACAACATTGGTTGGAGGAGGCAAAGACAACATTGGATGGAGGAGGCAAAGACAACATTGGTTGGAGGAGGCAAAGACAACATTGGTTGGAGGAGGCAAAGACAACATTGGATGGAGGAGGCAAAGACAACATTGGATGGAGGAGGCAAAGACAACATTGGATGGAGGAGGCAAAGACAACATTGGTTGGAGGAGGAAAAGACAACATTGGATGGAGGAGGCAAAGACAACATTGGATGGAGGAGGCAAAGACAACATTGGATGGAGGAGGCAAAGACAACATTGGTTGGAGGAGGCAAAGACAACATTGGATTGAGGACATCAAGGAACTGACTGGATTACCTGTTGCAGAATTACTTAAAATGAAAAGGATAGCAAAAGATTATGAAAAAACTGAGGCACCCAGCGACCCCTTCCCCTCCCTAGTTATGGGTTAAATGAATGACTAAATAATAAAATAGCATTAGAATGTACATAAAGTGAAACCGTTAATGATTTACACAATAGTTTATAAAAAGTAATGTTTCAATATGTAGGCCAAGAAAAAATAAATTTATCTACACACTTTGACAGGTAGGTGGAGGTGAGTCCCACCGGCCGTTTTGAAGACATCTTAAAACAGAACTTCCATAGAGCCTGTGGCCACACTGGCACCTGAACACTGCCACTGAGTTGTATACAGAGCTTGTATAATTGACCACTCCATTTTCTGGTGACTTCAATGCCGGACATTTCACAACTGAAATACCAACAACGCACATTCAATATTATCAGTGAAAATAAAATGTTTATATGAAAATCTGTTCATAGGTATTTTACACAATTTTTTACAGATTTTGATAGGGACACAGACTTACTTTGACAAACAGATTTTGATAGGGACACAGACTTACTTTGACAAACAGATTTTGATAGGGACACAGACTTACTTTGACAAACAGATTTTGATAGGGACACAGACTTACTTTGACAAACAGATTTTGATAGGGACAGACTTACTTTGACAAACAGATTTTGATAGGGACAGACTTACTTTGACAAACAGATTTTGATAGGGACACAGACTTACTTTGACAAACAGGTTCTGATCCACTCCAAATGAAGGTTAATTTTTCAGGATTTGTGTTTTTATCTTCTACACAGTAGCGAGTCTTTGGGCCTACAAGTTTATACCCCTGGTCACACATGTAGTCTACTTCACTTCCCACTTTAAGCATAGAGAAAACTGTCTGACCGTTGCTTATATTGCGGGGAGGTTCACATGCAGACTCTGAAAAAAGATTTTTGAAACTAACTATCTAATGTAGGCCTACAACTTAGATAAAAATTGTGAAGCTTTTATAACAAATTTCCTAACATTAAACATAGATAAAAATTACATTTACATTTAAAATGTCAATATGCAGTTAACACAAAATGGTTCCCTTACCTAGGCTACAGGAGTTAGGTGTTAACCTTACCTATGCTACATGAGACGGGTGTAAACCTTACCTAAGCTACAAGAGACAGGTGTTAACCTTACATAGGCTACATGAGACAGGTGTAAACCTTACCTGAACAAAGAGGGGCAGGTGGTACCTTACCTAGGCTACATGAGACAGGTGTTAACCTAAGCAAAGAGGAGCAGGTGGTACCCTTACCTTACATAGGCTACATGAGACAGGTGTAAACCTTACCAAGGCTAAATCAGACAGGTGGTAACCTTACCTTACCTAGGCTACATGAGACAGGTGTAAACCTTACATAGGCTACATGAGACAGGTGTAGACCTTACCTAGGCTACATGAGACAGGTGTTAACTTTACCTAGCTACATGAGACAGGTGTTAACCTTACATAGGCTACAAGAGACAGGTGTAAACCTTACCTAAACAAAGAGGGGCAGGTGGTACCCTTACCTAGACAGGTGTTAACCTTACCTGGGCTACATGAGACAGGTGTAAACCTTACCTAGGCTACATGAGACAGGTGTAAACCTAACCTAGGCTACATGAGACAGGTGTAAACCTTACCTAGGCTACATGAGACAGGTGTAAACCTAACCTAGGCTACATGAGACAGGTGTAAACCTTACCTAGGCTACATGAGACAGGTGTAAACCTTACCTGGGCTACATGAGACAGGTGTAAACCTTACCTAGGCTACATGAGACAGGTGTAAACCTTACCTGGGCTACATGAGACAGGTGTAAACCTTACCTAGGCTACATGAGACAGGTGTAAACCTTACCTGGGCTACATGAGACAGGTGTAAACCTTACCTAGGCTACATGAGACAGGTGTAAACCTTACCTGGGCTACATGAGACAGGTGTAAACCTTACCTAGGCTACATGAGACAGGTGTAAACCTTACCTAGGCAAAGAGGGGCAGGTGGTGACCAGCTTTGGTCTGATGTACAACTCAGCTTAGTAGAGAGGCTGGGGAAGTGGCCTTGTGGGCAGATGATGCTGGCCTGAGTCCCCTGGAGTAACTGACCATTGAACAGCTTCTGCTGGCTGTACAGGACACTGATACCACTCTCTAGGGCCACAGCTTTACAGGTAACTAATTAAATAGAAATTACATTCTTTGTGTTAGTAGCATGAACATAACTTTTACAGCTTTACAGGTAACTAATTAAATAGAAATTACATTCTATGTGTTAGTAGCATCAACATAACTTTTATATTTAAGTACATGAAAATAAAATTTGACAACTCATAAATTCTGATTTAGTTAGAATATGCAAAAAATTTAGTTTTTTTTAAATTTTATTGCAAAGTTAGTAAAAAAAATGTTTAGTACTTTTTAGTACTGTTGGCTAAGCCAAACCATATAGACATATAAACAACATCAGTCTAGTACCTGGCCTTTGAAAAGGTACAGCTAAACCTGAGGTAAAAAAATTTAAGTTGGAAAAGAAATAAAAACCTGCGCAGGTCTTGTTGGGACGAAGCGTCATGTTGCCAATATGGTCCCAGGGGCCATCATACAGAAGGTAGCCAGAAGGACATTTACAGTGGTAGCTGCCAGGGGAGTTAACGCATGTGTGGCTACATCCACCATTATCAATGCTACATTCATCTATATCTGAAATTAAGGTGACAGTGGTTGTGGCTATAAACATAACTAAAATAAATGAAAAATCAAGGTGAAGGTCTTATTATAACAAAAAAAAAATATTGATCAGATATTGGTCAGATTGGTGTTGAAGATAGTCATACTGATCTTAATTCGAAATTAAAGTCTCTGAGATTTGTTTTATAGATAGATGTACTGATCTTAAATACATCAATCAGAATTGAATTACAGATACCATTCAGACTGGCATTTTAAGTTATCAGCCAAGTTTGCCTAAATACAGTCACCAGCTTCATTAAACGAAGTGTCAACAAAATAATTACATTAATTATTGTCCTAAAATGTTTCTAGACCAAAACAATCCTTTCAGGAAAAAAACATACATTAAACCACCTGAAGCAGCTGGAATGTTAATGTTTAGCTTTGGCTGTGTGCCTAAATGAATAGTTGACATGGATTTTGCGGAAAATCTTTTGATTTGGAACACATATATGTAAGATAGTGTAGATTGACAATAGACCAGCCTATGAAGATAACTCATTCTTTTTCTCAAAAGTTGATTTATGTTTAGAAAACACTCCTCGAAAAAAAAACACTGTATTAAACAAGAGCAGTGGTGTCTACAACAGAGAGAATTAAAATAGAGAACAAAATAACCTACCAATGCAGTTACGCGTGGAGTCCAGGGGATGCTGGTAGCCTTGATCACACCTGCAGCTGAACCCACCTGGGTAGTTCTGGCACAGGTGACCCCCACAGGCATCTGGATTCTTGCACTCATCAATATCTGAGTAAAAAATGTCTTAATGGTAAAGCATGCTTAAGATGATTTTAATAAGACATTCCTTTTAGTTAACAGTGACTTAGATTAGTGTTTAACGTACAGTTAAAATGTTCATTTAATGTCTTTACAAATATAACAACCAGGAATGCTATAAATTATAATATGTATGCAGATTTGTTATTAAATTTTAACTCATAAACCCTCATAAACTTTAAGTATTATAAAGATATCCAACAGGATTTTTAAAAATGAATTACCATACAAAGCACATGAATTTATTTATTAACTATTTTTTATTAATTTATTTGAATATGTTCCTAAAAAAATATTAGGTAAAATTTTAACTTGTTAGTTGGATTTGGTCTCACCTATGCATGATGGGAATGGGTTGTCATATTGGAGAGTTGGTAAACAGGTGAGTAGATCAGAGCCATTGGGCTGATGACCTTCATCACAGAAAATCTGAAGGGAGTGACCCACCGCAACTGCTGATGTTGAGTTCACATGACCATTACAGATTTTCTCCAGCTTGGCACACTGTGAAACTAGGTAAGCAACAAATTCAAAAATAAGAATTATAACCAATTAGGCCTAATATCTAAACATGGCAATAATGCATAAATAAGAATTATAACCAATTAATATCTAAACATGGCAATAATGCATAACCAGCTGTATAATCTTGTGAAATAAAAACAATAAAACACCGCTAATTTTGTTTATATCTTCTTAAAGCTAGCATTATTTTTCTGAAAAGTAAATATTTCAATCTTTACCATTACAAATGGGTCTTGCATGGCTCCACTGTCCAGAAAGATTACAGTGAGAGAACTCCCTGCCTATCATATGAAATCCCTCATTACAAGTGTAGTTTCGCATGTACCCATACTTTATATCTTCAGCTAGTGCTCTAGAATTGTTTGGTGGTCTTTCTTTTGGACAAAGGATAGCTGTGGAAAAAATATATCAGTTTTAAGCACTCAATAATTTGATTCAAGAACAAGAAAATGTTTTAAACTAGATTTTGGATGAATATAAACTAGATTTAGGGTAAATAATCCAATGACTTTACAAGAGGAATAAATATAAACTTTGTTTTAGAGAACAAAATAGGGTATTAACAGATATTTAAAATAAAAATGTTTTTCTTGTTACAGTCCACTTAAGTGTATCATTATTGTGGCCTTTAATTTAATTAAAACAGCTTCTGGAAACACACATCAAAAGCAGTATCAACAACACTGTAACTCCTATATGGAATACCACAGCCCTGTCCCTTCAAAGCAAGATAAGAAATTTCAACACAAATGTCAAGGCAGTACTGCTTTATCACTCAGACACCAAACCAGGTTACACAATCAAACAGTTAAAGGCTACAAATAAATGCCTATAGATGCCTATAATGAATCCTAGAGGTAAGATGGCTAGGAATATTGTCCACAAGCACCCATGGTAAATCAGGAGACAACAGTGCATAGACAGGGACATGAAAGTCCACAAATGGGGATAGTTAGGACACCCCTTGAAAAGAGAACACAAAAACATCACAAAGCAGGAGTTGGACTACAGAGAGCCTAAACAATCCAGGAGAATGACTGTGGAAAGGGTAGCGAGGGCTGTGAGGGTTACATGGTCTCAAATAAAGAGAGCTGCCCAAAACAGTCTGCTGGAGAGGTGTAGCTGTAGCCCTTTATTGCTCAGGGGCTTCAAAGGAATCAAGAACACTACATTATTCAAGACTCCACAACTTTTATAATATTTGAAGCAATTCTTGGGTTTTTTAAATCTAATTTATAAAGTTTCAAGAGACCTTCACACTTAGGCACATTTTCCCAGCCATTTTGTCCACATTCAGCTATTTCTCTGCCCACTAATCTGTAGCCAAACAGGCAACTGTAGTTAGCTCTGCTGCCAAATGTGATTCCATCTACATGAACCAAATAAGCTTTCTCTGGAATAGGTGGTGATCCACAGATGATTTCTAGTTAATAAACAAAAGCAACTGTTATTTAGAGAAGGAAATTTCTAATTTCTAAGTCCAGTTTTATTACTTTTATACTGATATTTAAAATTATACCTCTTCTGCTTTGACTACTCAAGAAAATTAAAAACAAATCAAATTATGATATTTTTATGAAAAAATATGAATAATAATTTTTTACAAGGAATAGAAACTTGCGATTCGCTTCATAATAGCTATTTCTGCGAATTTATTACCCTATTGTTATTTTATAGAAAAATTAAAAATTCTGATCAAATAGGCGTAATAAAAATAGAATCACTTTTTAAAATTAAGTCCAACCAAACATTATATCAATAAATTGTGTTTTATAGTAAATAAACAATATTTTTTAGAAACTGAAAGTTTAAACTACAGCTTTGTCATTTAATTAGAGTGTAAAACTTACTTTCGCATGATGGCAGCTGAGCAGGAAACCATTTACCCAGCATGCCGCAGGTCCTTTGATTCGAGCCAGTAAGAGTAAATCCTGGTACACATGAATACTTCACAATAACCCCGAAATAGGTCTCAGTTGAGTTGATCACAAGAGGGTCATTAACTGAAGCTTCCTCACAATCTAGTTAAGTTTTTTTTAAATTATTTTTTAAAATAGCTGCTTACTAAATAAATAAGATGTTGGTTTATATACAGAGGTGGACTGACTATGTCCAAGAGGCCCAGGAAATTTTAAAAGGGCCCCCAAACCCAGATTGAAATTTTTAGTGTGTGTTTTCTTCTCCATCAAAACCTGAATTTTATTCCTTGATATGAAGAATTAGTAATGGTCAAATGGTACCACTAATAGGACTATTACAGTACCATTTCTAGTGTCCCAACAACAGTATTTTCCTGGGGACCCACCAGGAATTTTCCAGCGGGCCAGTCCAACCCTGTTTATATATTAATATAATAACTAGTAATTCTTTTATGAACCAATGTTCTCAGTATTTAGGTAAAAGAGCGTTTTACTGATTCTTAAGACTTATACTTAACAGGCAATTTATTGCAATAAACATCAAAAAATATGTTCACAGTTTATCCCAGTTGTACTCACCAAATGAAAAGGCAGCAGCCCATCTGCCAGTGTTTACAGTGGAGTCAGTGATAAACTTGACAGAAAAGTTACTGTGTGATGAAATGAGTGACGACTGATCAGACAAAGATCCTGACATATTCAGAAGAATGGAGGTGCTGTTCTGTAGCTACAATATTCAATCAAAATGAAAATCATTTGTTAGGAATATATATTTTGAAACATATCAGCTAGTGAAAATATGTAAAGAATATAAGTATTGAAATTACATAGAACTTTAGTAGTTAAATGCAATTAATATTTACAATTTTCATTTGTTGGAGGATATTATACTGGAAAGTTAATAAACGTTAAAGAAAAAGCAATAAATAATAATGTAGTTTTTAAAAAGTACCACCATGTAATGTGTAATTAAGACTGTCTTAAAAAAGGTAAATTTTAAAATCTTTTATATCAATATTTTCTATGCCAAAAATAGCAAACCTGAATAACTGGGTAATAAAAACAAATCACTGTTACATTTTTTTGTAATTATTAAATTTTTTTGTGTAATTTTTAAAAAAAAGTTTTAGACAAAATACCACTATATTTGCTAGAAAAATAAACAAGGAAAAGCATATACTCACAGTGACTACATCTTTCCCCTCCTCTGTGAAGAAAGGTGGAAGAATAATAAACCTGAGTTCAGTGTGAGACAAGTCTTTTAAAACCTTCCACTCACACCTGAGATTGTTGGGGTACTGGGAGCTGGTGTAGCCAGGTGACAAGATCAGACTTGAATTATACGGAAAGACGATACCACAACCTGCAGTGTATAGAAATATGTTTTTTATTGCATATCTGATTAGACTCCAGAAAGTGTTAAAGAACTTAAGGACAACATCAAAATGACAATTCTTAAAAGGTAAAGAAATGGCTATTGTAAATAGGTAAATGGTAAATGTAATTGCTTTAAGGGTTAAGAATATATTGGTATATGTTCAATTCTAGTTCCTGTTAATAAAACATAGGTTAGCGTTAGATTTTAGAATAACTATAAATAAACTATAAATATGTGGGAAAGTGTGGTCAAATGGTAAAGCATAGAGTTCGGATTTTGGTTTGGATTTGGAACTGTAAGTTGTCCTGGAGTCCACCCAGCTCTGATGGATACCTGGTTTACGCTGGGGAAACTTGACGTGCCTGGGCATGGTGGTGACCACACCATCCCTTCTTAGGCAGAGGTCAAGAAATATATAAACGTCATTTTCCCAATGGATCACTAGGTTTAAAGAGGAATATTTAGTTAATTTCATAAATATATTATAAAATATTAGCTACAGATGAAACCAATATTTGTATACATTTTTTGACAAATATTTAAAAAGAAACTAATAAAAATTATATTTCAATTTAGCTTTTAATAAACATATAGAAATTACCTTTAACATATGAAACATTGAATTGCCCATTAGTGTATTTATCTTTAAAAAAATGAATAAGTACAAGTTGCCCTGAAGAAACAATAACAGGTGGAATGTTGATTGATGGAAATGCTGGAGAGCTGCTGAGGGAATGAGATTCACTGGGAACAATAGCACCATGACTGGAGTTGATGTGGGTGATGATGGGAGAGTTCATGTCAATCCCATCATAAACTGTGATGGTATCATTGGCTTCAAGAATCACAAGGTTAAACTACAGCAGAAGAAAAAAAAAGACAAATTTTAGCAATGTAAATATTTCAAAATTTAGTCTTTTGATAATTTTACGATGATTTAAAAATGTTCCAAGAACTAATTAATCATAGTTAACCATAATTAACCATAGGCGTACCCTCAATGATACAACTTCTGAATTAGGTGCTGAGATCAACCAATCACAAAATTGGCCTCTAGCTAAGTTTGATTTGGAAGCATTGAACTTTTCTTGCTTTTCTATATCTTCAGCCAGCAGTTTGTGGTAGCAGGACACAGATTCTAGGGTGACTGTAAAAATAAAAAATTTTAAACCAGTAAAGCAGTTTGTGGTAGCAGTACACAGACTCTAGGGTTACTGTAAAAATAAAAAATTTTAAACCAGTAAAGCAGTTTGTGGTAGCAGTACACAGACTCTAGGGTGGCTGTAAAAATAAAAAAATTTAAACCAGTAAAGTAGTTTGTGGTAGCAGTACACAGACTCTAGGGATACTGTAAAAATAAAAAAATTTAAACCAGTAAAGCAGTTTGTGGTAGCAGTACACAGACTCTAGGGTGGCTGTAAAAATAAAAAATTTTAAACCAGTAAAGCAGTTTGTGGTAGCAGGACACAGACTCTAGGGATACTGTAAAAATAAAAATTTTTAAACCAGTAAAGCAGTTTGTGGTAGCAGTACACAGACTATAGAGTGACTGTAAAGATAAAAAATTTTAAACCAGTAAAGCAGTTTGTGGTAGTAGGACACAGACTATAGAGTGACTGTAAAGATAAAAAATTTTAAACCAGTAAAGCAGTTTGTGGTAGTAGGACACAGACTATAGAGTGACTGTAAAAATAAAAAATTTTAAACCAGTAAAGCAGTTTGTGGTAGTAGGACACAGACTATAGAGTGACTGTAAAAATAAAAAATTTTAAACCAGTAAAGCAGTTTGTTGTAGCAAGACACAGACTCTTGGGTGACTGTAAAAATAAAAAATTTAAAAACAGAAACTGCAATTTCAAAATTTTGTGCCAATGCGGGTTGGTGAGGCACCATGATTATATGTCTGTAAATATATACACATACACATATAAATATTTATATGTATATCTACAAAATTTATTTATTGTAGGATTTTAAAAAATACTAATATAAGATATACATTCTCTCCTGATGAAACACTTCATTCTGCAGTTGATAAAGATGTAAGGCTACCAAAGGTGTAATTGTTCTGCTTGATGTCCATACTCAAACACTGAGGGACAAGGAACTGAAGGAGCTGACCAAGCCAGCAAGAGAAAGGAGGATAAAGAAGAGGATCATTGGACTAAGGAAAAGGTTGAAGTTGACTTAACGTTTGAACTTCTTGCACTTAGGTCACAAAGGCTCAAGAACTAGGGCACTTTGCTGACAATTGAGATTGAAGTATAGTTTGTTTTTTTGCAGTTCAGAAATTCAATTGAAAGTTCCATGTCAGCATACAAAACAAGGATCACCCAGACAAAGTAACAACACCATTAGCACCTTGCAACTATACTTATAACTCACATGAAGAGATCTCTTATGCCCATGCCAGTATTGGAAGGTGGAAGTTCCATCTGAAAATACTGAACTACCTGGTGTGGTTCCTCCAGACGAGCATTAATTAGCTCATAGTATATATCTACTAAGATATGTTTAGCGCTCATACTTAGCTGAAATTCTTGCTTATTTCTCTTTTGTTATCTTTTCTGATCCAGCTGGGATATGCTGAATGGATGTGACTTTGTGTTAAATTATTAATCACCAGTTGCCTTTTGCTGGTCTTTTGTGCACACATTTAAATGTATGTTTTTGTTTTGACCAGTCAAAGAAACTGGACCATATCGTTTAACTAATAATGGTTAAAAAAAAAAAAAGTTTCATTTCTACAAATTAAGAACACTGATACCTGATTGTTTTCTTTTTAAACTAGAATCAAATTATAATTTTATACTTTGAGAAATTTAAAGCTTTGACAAACAGTCACACAAAATGTTTATTTAAAAGTTTAGTGATATGAAAGGCAATCGTTACTTCATTTTTCTCGCATTTTTGTGTATTTTTGAAGACTTTACAGAACAAAGCCAAAAGTTGTCTCCCTTTAATACAATGAATAAATGGGAAGCAAATAAATAACCTAATATTCAATTTTAAACAATTTTTAACTATTAATATTGCATTGGGTTTAAACATGTCAAATAATAATGTAATATTGATTATTAAAAAAAATTAAATGTATACCTATGCATACATAAAAAATTGTCCAAATATATAAAACTTTCACTGAGTAGTCTTCTAAGAATTGGAGTTGGCTTACTAAAATATTTTCAAACATATCTATTGTTCGGTTTAACATAACAAGCAGAAAATTATCCTTAGCTACGTGAACTGCACTTTCTATTGTGTAGTAATTAAGTATGAAGTAGAGCAATAAAATTTTCACAAGAATTTCAGGGTGCGATCAGAAAGTGGTTTTACTATGTATATTGCTAGAAACATTATATAATGATAAGCTTCAAATCAAACTTTAAGCACAAAACTCAACAACTCAACATTTCTACCCAAAAACTTTTAGGGAGCTGACATCCTAAACCAACTATGGATAGAAATTTTCAGGGGTCGAACCTTTTAAATTGGCAAATAGATGAAAATATTTGACAATGGAATGGTTGATATATAGCAAATATTTTAATTAAGTATCTGGTGACAGCAGTTATGATATGAAAAAAAATGTTTTATTTGTATAAATTTTTTTGAAAGTTACTGTCAAACTTTTTCCCCTTCTCTAGTATGGTGGGAGCCGCACTGCCTGGTTTGAAAACCACTGCTCTAGAATCACTTTAAAAAATAAAGTGTGTAAATAAGTAAAGCAGTTTATGGTAACAAGGAAGGACGGTTGACTAAAAATAACACTATTCAAACAATGAAACAGCTATAAACAAAGGATATACATTGATTACAAAATAATTGACTAAAAATAACACTATTCAAACAATGAAACAGCTATAAACAAAATTGATTACAAAATAATTGACTAAAAATAACACTAATCAAACAATAAAACAAAGATGTAACAAAGGATATTTATTGATTACAAACTAACAAGCTAGAAATTTAAAAGCAATAAGGAAAAGCTTTTTTCTATGTTTGAACACAACATTTAATTCCAAAATTAGTAACAATGAATTACATTTTGATACAATCAGCTAATTATTTTCATGTTTTTAAGATAAAATTACTGTGGAAGGTTAAGAAACTACTAGCATTCAAGTTCTTTAGTAATGTCCAGATTTTGGCAGAAAGAATAGACCGAGGAAAAGTTTTAAGATAACAAGCCAAAACAAATATTAATTACCAGTTGTCCATGTTATGTTGAATCCAGTGGCCTGCACTGATTGATCTGACAGGAAATTGATTGTCACCACGCTGCCTGAAGACATCACATTTTCATGTGATGAACTTTTGTCAAAAAAAGCCAACTGCGATCTTTCACTGATTCCAGAGCCATCATAAATATGTATGGTATCATATTTGTCTTCAATGTGAAGATTCCATACCTGGATTTACAACAAATTTACATAATAGATTCTAATAAAATATTTAATTAAAATTTTACCTAAGATAAAAAAAAGTAGACTGTAGTTATTATTTTAATAAAATGTCACTATTGTAAAATTTTAAGTTTAGAATTATAATTTTTTTTAGAGAAAACTTAGGTAGTCTTACATGAATCTGTATAGCTAACATGGGATCTGTTTTCACAGTCCATGTACAGTTAGAGTAGGACGGATATGGGTTGGGATAGTTTGGTGACTGTAAGCTTCCTGCGAGTCCCCAAAGTGTACCGCCACAAGACTGAGATGAGACCAAGTTTCCTGCAAAGGTGTATTTAGAAAATATTTTGAGCATTCAACTTAAGTAGTCAATACCACTGCTCAGTCTCTGCTGCATGTCAATTTAAATGAATACAATAAATGCTCTTATTAATAGTTTAAGGATTTGTTGATATTGAAGCCTACTAAAAATGTTGTGGTAAAAATGAACTTCTTACAATTGTTTTCAAGTAGTTTTTACAATTTAAAATTTCTTTAATCAAATAAAATTTTTAGTTTGGCTTTCTAAAGCTTTTAGCAGAAATAAATTATAAAATGACTTTTCATTTTTTGAAAAATCATAGATCAGTGGTTTAGAAAATACTGTTGAACAAATTAAAGAGCTTTAATAACATGAAATAAAAATTGTATTTATAAAAACTCACCATTACTGCAGCTCAGTTCATCTGAACCGTCACTACAGTCCTGAACACCATCGCATATCCAGTTTTTGCTAATACACTGGTTGCTGTTATTACACCTGAGCGCACTATTTTCACATGGTTTGATCACACATAATGAAGACAATTTCTTCTCACAATCATTCAACTCCCACCGTAAATCATTACTTTCAAAAGATTCTTTTTTTATATCACAGCAAAGCTTTGATGAAGTTTCAACTGAAAATTATATTGAATAAATCAATTAAAATGAGTTTTATGTAAACTAAACCTTGGACTTAATTTTTTTAACACTTTCTTTCACGGAAAACAAAATAGCTGTTCAATTAATCGATAAAATATTCATAATAACTAAAATATAACATTTACATTAAAATAAATTTCTCGCAAATAACAATGTTTACAAAAATAGGTTAAAATTCCTATCAAATTTAAAAAAGAAAAAAGATTTATTGATATATAGCTAAGTACATAAGCCAAAATGTGTGTTATATCTCTATCAACATAATGTGACAAACCAAGTGAATTATGTAGTCCATCCAGTGTCCAGAAACCATCTTGTTTAACAGCCACCTCTCCATCAGACCACTGGAGAGACTGATTAGAAAAATGAACAAGCCCTGGAAAAAATAAAATTGTTATAATAGCTTTCCTTGTCTAGAACTGAAATCTATTAAACTTAATATTTGAAATGGAAGTGTAGAAAAGCTATATTGGCAACGATTGTACAAAATTACAGAGCAAAATTTTGCATAATGTAAGAAACCAGGTTAAACATTTTAAAATTATTACCAGGCCTATATAAACATTAATTAATTAATTATATCTAGTTATGATGTAACTGAATAATTCAGTAAAAGTGTGTGGTCTATTATTACAGCCCACCTATCCATATTCCATTATATGTGCTTATGTCATCTACTGGGGATGATTCTTCATGTTGAGAAACAAAATAATTGATCCATTGTTGTTCTGTGTAGCTGTTAATTTTCACCAGAACCCCACCGAAGCTGTTTTTTAAATAATATTCACAAGTAAAATGTCAATCTAATAAACACATAGTATTAAAATACTAATTAGAGCAGAAAGTATTTTGATTTAGCCAAGCATTTAAATTTAGTTTATTGGGCTGCTTATCGTGGATTAATCACTTTGACTCTGTGGGATTATAAAAATGCAAGACATCTTTACTAGATCTAGATTAGAATCTATTTATTTATAATTTTATATATATATATATATATATATATATATATATATATATATATATATACATATATATATATATATATATATATATATATATATATATATATATATATATATATATATATATATATATATATATATATATATATATATATATATATATATATATATATATATATATATATAACGAGCCGACCCGCTGCGTATCATACGCCGCTATTTAGTTGTTTTTTTTTCTACTTTTCAGTAATTTATAATTTGTGAATTCGATAGTACCAATGCTGCCACTGAAAATATTTGCTTAAAAACACTAAACCCCCCTCCTCCCCCCCACGTGAAAGCAGCCTCATCTTAGTTACCTCCTCTAAGTTTAAAATCGTTTCAAACTAAATTATCTGCCCCTAATAGCCGTCACCAAACCCGTCTCTAAGATTGTAAAATGTAAACAGCGTGACCACAGCTCACCAGACGGGGTGGGGTGGGGGTGGTAGTGATAGTGATAGAGAGAAAGAGAGGGGACTGCAAGGAGGCGCTTGCAGCTTGTTTTCTAACGGCTCCCAGAAGAGAATTATATATATAGATATTGTTTTAATGCTGTATATCAGAAAGTGTAAAGTACTGAAAAGAGTAAACTCACTGTAATTTGTGAAGTCACATACTAGTCTAAAGTCTAAGTCTAGAATCTAGATCTAGAATCTAGAAATCTAGATCTAATTTTGAAATTTAGTTTTCAAAACTGAATTGAATTCTGAGAGTTTATTTCAATTTTTTAAAGACTTTCGAAGGTTGACAACATTTTTGGGGTATGATGCTTTTGTGATGGTGTGTGAAGATGAGGGGGGGGGGCATAGATTGTCCCAAAAAGCAGACTAGGAAATAAAAATTAGGTAATCTATCGTTTTGGGTACGTAAAATCGCCCGCGGCTATTAATGTACGAAAACGTTACCTCATTGTCAAGGCTTTAATAGGAGTATATTGTCATATGTTTGTGTCAAATATTATAGATAAATGAATAATAAACCTAAATCAATGGCTAAATATATCGATATAGGCCAGAAATTAACTTTAAACAGCAGTGTCTGAGAGCAAGATTTGCTATATAAACAGCAGCCATTTGTAAAATAGAGTGGCTTCCCCCTGATCTCGCGCTAAAAGCTTATAAAAATAAAACTTAAACAAGATGGCTGCTATAGTAAATGAGCATGGTTGCATCTGTTGGAAACATCGCTAGTCTTCATTTATTACTGAAAAGTTTTAATTCAATTCTTTAAAAACAGGTACATAAATGAAACAACGAAACATTTTTGTATTTTAAAAAATATAAATCCTCCTCAAAATGTGAAATAATTATTAAAATTTAAGGAGTCACCTGGTTTTCACATTACAAGTCGCGGGCGATTTTACGTACCCAAAACGATAGATTACCAAAAATTAAATTTATAAATAGACCTATCCGGCCCTATCCCTATCCCTAGGATCTGAATTTAGAATCTAGAATCTAGATCCCTAGACGTATTTCACCTGTCACACACAGCTTGTGACTGGCTCCACGTTAGCGCTGGCACAATGAGTTTATAACAATTGTTGTTGTACAATTCCCAGCCTGTAAAACAATAAAATAATTAGATCTAGAATCTAGTATAAACATTTCCAATTCATATTCGAGGCGGGCTAAAAAAGTAACTTTTACAAATCATTTCGCTACTCCTAGTTTTTAACTAACCTAATTTTAGATATCAAATATAGGCCAATTTTAGATATCAAAATATAGGCCTATATTATATAATATTATTTTTTATTTGGTTATAGAATCTAGATCTAGATCTAGATTGTAGATCTAGTAATCTTATAAAAGCAAATATATTTTTAAGTAAATTATGTTAATTAAAATCTAGATCTAGAAATATAGATCTAGATTTCTACCTGATGGACAGGTGTACCAGCTTGAAAAATTTACTTTGGCGTACGGTTCAAGTATGCTTCTTTTATTCTGAAATAAAGATTTGAGTACATCTAGACATCTATTATAAACATGACTCAGACGCAACTAAGGATTAAGAATGATCAAGATTCACATCTATAAGAATTTAGAGTTTAGGGGGGATTATAGATCTAGTGGTGGGCTGGCCAGATGGTCTACCTGGAAAAGTCCCGGTGGGCCCCCAGGAAAAAATCTTGGTGGACTTTATATAAGTCATTATTCGTGCTTTGATATTTTTTAATAGCTTGTTGGTATATCTACATTTTATCATTTCTATTTCTTTATACCAAGCCTACAATTCAGAGTTTGATGATGAAAAAATACACAATGGAAATTTTAATCTGGGGTTGGAGACCCCTTGTGAAATTCCCCGGGCCTTCTGGACACAGCCAGATCACTTCTGATGGATTACAAGATTTTTTTTTTTTATCAGGGCTGGCCTATATCAGAGGCGTAGCTACCCTTCCTGGCGCTCGGGGACAAACTTTCAATTTGGCGCCCCCCCCCCCCCCACCCTCGGGAACAACCTTTCAATTTTCAATTTGCACCCTTCCTCAAAATTTCAATTTCTTTTTCCAACCCATTTTGTCGCCCCCTAAGTTCGGCGCCCGGGGACATATGTACCCCCTGCCCCCCCCCCCTCGCTACGCCTCTGGCATATATGTGGCCTCAATCTTTTTTAAACGGTTTTTTACCTCCAAACTACTTCGTCACAAAACGTCACCATCCTTCAAAAGAAGTCGCATCTCAGCATACCACCCCCTATAACTTCCAATTATCGTTTTTTAGAACAGCGAAGTCTATTAAAAATAATAACTGAGATCGGCCAACGTCGAGTCGCCTATTATTTACACACACAAAAAGTCTTTTTTAAATGCGAATAGCGGCTAATAAGTCTAATGGTAATATTCAGTTTGAAACATTCCATTTTTAAAATGCAAAAGTGCTTCGTTACACTTTCTGAACCTGAACACTCTCTCTTCCTTTCCCCTCATCGCACATCGCTACAAAGTCCAACACTCAATGAATAGGAGTGTGACATTGTTAATGGACGAGCCTTTTGTATAAAATGCCAACTGTTTTCCAGTTGCAAGATATACAAATCGAGATATACATTTATAGCCAACTCATGCAAGCAAGCTTCAAGAGAGACATTTACCCTTTATGACATTGTTGTCTTGTCCCCATCAACCACTCCCTTCCATCTGTGTCATGTCATGGAAGATTTTGATTTATAAATAGTAGGCCTACCATTTCAATAGCTTTGTTTGAAAATTACTAGTCGATATAGATCTAGGTTGGACTGACTTAAGGTGTGTGTACTGTCTAGCAGTGGCGTTGCGAGGTAGGGTGTCACCCGGTGCGGCACTTAATGGTGTCACCCCCCTCAAAATTTCGATTTGCACCCCCCCCCCCCTCAAGTTTTCGATTTGCACACCCCCCCCCCCTTCAAAATTTCGATTTGCACCCCCCCCCCCTCAAGTTTTTCTCTATATATTTTGCTATTTTTCGCCTCGGTGTCACCCCCCTAAATGGTGTCACCCGGTGCGGTCCGCACCTCCCGCCCCCCCCCCCCCTCGCTACGCCTCTGCTGTCTAGTTTGTTTTCAAAAAGCCGCGCCCCTCTTACCACCTAAATGGAGCTTAAATAAATGTTCTTTTTATTTATTTATTTTTTGTTACAGCAGTTTTACTCATCTGATAAGTGAAACGTCTAGTTGCTAATTTACTTATTATAAACTAGTTAAAATAAATATAAAAAGCTTATATTCTTTTTCTATTCTTAGCTAATTTATGCGTTACACATCAAGGACTTCCAGTGGCCCGTAAATTCACGTCCAATAATCCCTCACAACAATTGACGTTTGTAAACTCATTCATTAAATGGGCGTGGTGGAGTTCCGTGACACGTAAGGTTACGGCTACACATGACTAGGTCATAAAACAAAGAGAGAGGGGAAAAATCATGGGGGAAAGTGAACCCAAGACACCGTAACAATACAACGTCGCCCTCAGTGGCTTCGGGCTGTCAACGCCGTGTACTGTATTGTTGACGTCAGTTTACATAAATTAGAAGGCTCTTCCGCGTTGTTTGTGTACATCTTGTGAGATGTTGGGTGTTAAAGGCTTTATAAAGAGTGGTATATTTTTAACATGTTAATTAATAGTTTATCAATAGATTTTTTTTAAATATAAAAGGGGTCATATTTATCATGTTTAAAAAAAAGATACTTGACGCAAATGTGCAAACGTTACGATTGTTTGTATGCTGAACTTTTATTTTTCCCTCCCAACGCAATTTTCTCTTTCAAACTATATTAAGAATAAACTCATACCTAGCCAAAGTATGGTTTCATAATTAATTTAAAAATTTAAGAATAAATTATTAAACAACCCTCATATCATCTTAAACTCAAAAATAAATAGTGGTATTTTGTGTCCTTGTCTCATACCACAAAAAATGCGTCGTTGCTTTTAAATATATTTAAATATAACATGAAAAATTCTATAGCATTGATTTTTGTAATGTAAATGTTTGTTACTCTATAATTATCACTAACTTAATATATTAGGCCTTGCTTTCTTAAGCGAGATAGTCACTTAAAATACGTACCTTTACGTTCGCACAATAGGCAAGTTGAATATAAAATATATCAAACACTAGAACAGTTGTTGCCAGGAAAGCTATTGAGCTCAAACCAAATCTGTGGATTTCTGAAATAAGCCATTTTGGCCTACGGGCCATAACCTTTCTACTGCTAAAACAGTAGGAGACAGGATGTTTTTCACGTGTTATAAACGTTTCACATTCTTTCATTCAAAGAAAGTTGCCAAATAATAAATAATAAAACCGAACTCCAGAGTTACACAGCATATATAATCCAACACACTTTAACGTTAAAATGTCCTCTCTGCAACAAGATAATTCAGTGCGAAGTTTTAATTTTAATCCGAGAAAATTTAATTTGTACACAAGTTAAGAAAGTCTGTATTTCACATCCTGCAGTTATCTCAGTGTAGCACATTACTGTATTGTTTGCTCACTTCGATGTAGCATATCACTGTATAGCTAGAACCCCTCAATATAGCACATCACAATTTTTTCAGCACAACTCGGTGAAGCACATCACTGTGCTGATAGCACGTCTCAGCACATCACAATATTGAAATCACTTCCCAAATGTAGCACACTATTGTTAACACACTTCCTGTGTTGTTAACAAGTCGCTGTTTTATTAACACCAGCCGCTAAAGGTGATCAGCACAGCAAGGCTAACACACACCATAGTACTATCATCGCCACAACACTACCAGCACGCTTGAAACTTGCAGTAACCTGAGGGAGGACAATCATTCAATAAATCAATATATAGTTCACACACTTTTGTTGCGTGCTCTTGCACACACACGTATATATATATATATATATATATATATATATATATATATATATATATATATATATATATATATATATATATATATATATATATGTTATTTTATTTGTAATGTTTTTTTCTACCATCTTAATTCGATGACAAGAGTTTGTGTAAGTGAAGAAGAATGTGGTGTTCTTATCAATAGCATCATAAACATTAAAACCTAGGGTCTTTACAGCTGCTAAGACGAACCAAACACAATACATGACAGAAGCTACTTTAAACTTTCACTGTGTCTTACGTATGAAGTCTGTTGACTCAAATGCACAATATTGTTATCATTACTGTAATTTTATAACCTAACTTTAATCCAACTACACCAGGAGAACGATTAATAAGTTTGGGAATTCCCTATCTGTATTTCGTATTTTAAGCCGTGTGTTCTTGGTTATTGCAGGCATGATATACATAAACCAGCGAGGTTCGAACACTTAACAACTGTGTGCAGTGTCAATAGGATTCAAATTGAACGTGTATACAACTGAGGAATAATTTACTCTGAGAATCGCGAAGAGTCGAATAAAGGAGCTAATCCTTAACGTAAATTCTTGTTGGATTCAAATCGAACGTGTATATAACTGAGGAATAATTGACTCATGTGTGAGAATCGTTAAAGGTCTAATATTTATAAAGGAGCTAATCCTTAACGTAAATTCTTATTGTTACTCAGTAACACTCACTGTTGATATAAAAGTGGTGTGGGGAGTTGTGGTAGGTAGAGGGTACTGTTATGATGAGTTTAAGAGATCGTAATAGGAGCGTCTTGAACAGATGTTTCAGGTGTTTAATTTGTATCCATGTATTCAATGTACATCACCACACGCAGCAATCACAGTTTATGCTTGATTTCATTGCCGGTATTTATTTTCAATTGGGGGGGGGGGTGGGGGGGGCCTTAAATATCTATAATTTTTGTTGACTGTGCAGTGCAGGTGTTTTTGGTGTACTTTGTTTATTTGAATGGCTTTACTTTTAGGGCGAGGGTAGCTTTATGTGTTGTAATGCGTTGTGATGTCTGTGCAATGTTCCCTCTAAGCTGCGCGGTTACGCGGCCGCGCAGTAGTTGCGAACCTGCCGCGCAGTTATTTTGTAAAATACATTAACTATAACTTTGAGAATATCGCGCACACAATACACGATGATGCACTTAAGCAGTGTGTTGAAAAAGATGAAAAGGAGTATTTGTTGGGTGAAGTAACCGATGATGTTATAATGTTAGTAAGGGCACTGATGCCTCGTAATGGACATGGGATGGAAGGCACATTTGGTGCCCTACAATTAATGAGCAAACCTCTCCCCTTGGTCACATTTATTACTCACCATGTTTTATTTTTTTAGTAAACCTCAGAGGCTTTCTTACATAAAACATAACAGTTTCCCTTCACAAGTGCTGGTCTGTTTCTGGATAGGCTACCATAAACAAACGTCACGTGATCCGCCCACCTCCACTTGATACCCCCCCCCCCCCCCATTGTTCTCCATATCGCTGACCCAAAGATCGACTTGAACATAGCAGTAGGAAAGTGAAACTGTTGACCTAGTAATAACACCAGTACCGCGCTCTGCTCCCTCCGGGGTAATTGTTGTTTATATACAACCGAGACAGAAATAACACTCCGTGTGACGTAGTACACAATGTTTATATGACATACGGATAGTGTTTACACCGCGACTGTTCCGTGAACTAAGGTACTTCAAAATTTAGCAAGTCGGTAAAGAACAGTAGGGTTAGGAATACTGCACATATTACATAACACAAAGTGGGATTTTCATTAGCAATTCGGTCGAGAATTATAGACTTAGGAATACTGCACATATTAATTACATAACACAACATGGTATTTTCATTAGTAAGTCGGTCGAGAACAGTAGGCGTAGGGAACAGTAGGCGTAACAATATTGCACATAGTACATAACACAAAATGGAATTTTTATTACCATCTACTACACCATATAACAAAATATGGCATGTTTTATGGTCCCCATGACATTATTTTCGACTACCAACACTGTGCTTTTGAGTTAAATTATGGGCATCATATCATCTTATGGGCAAATCCTGCTTTATAATAATTTAAAACAAATACTAAGCTTGTGACTGTTTTCTAAGAAGGAATATGTAAGGCATGTGTCAACTTACCCAACCATTCTAATCAAAAGAAATTTTGCTTACATAATAATATAGAAAATCAAAGGCAGTGTTATATAAATAACATAATTCTATACCACCCCACCCCATACAAAAGCAATTAAACACCATTACCCCCCTCCGAGTTGTAAGGAAAAAATGTACGTCGAATTTTTCTCAGTTCATACTTTTATTTTCTTATTCGTGTGTGCTATCAAAAAATCCTAAGTCAAGTCTCCCATCACTAATCGATACCTTTGAAGAGATTGAAAATTGATTCCCTGACCTGGACATGTCTGAGGCCACCGACGATCGAACCCCAGCTGTGCCCTCTCCCCAGCCGTTAGACGCTGGCATACTTGAGCGGGGCGTGGTCCCGTTTGTTACTGCGGTAATCAGGGCTATCAATAGGTATTGGTTGATGTGGCGATTAGCTGGGTTCACGGAGATTCATATCTATGGTACACGAGAGGGTTAGTGGCGATATTAGCACACACAAACATTCGTTTGATTTTTACTTTCTCGTATATACGTAGTATAGAGAAAGTATTGTAATCGTGCAAAAAAAAAAAATCGAGATTTTTACAAATCTCGACGTTTTACACCTCACTGATACGGAAAAACATAATTTTGCAATCTTGTCCGTATGTCTGTGTGTGTGTGTGTCTGTCTGTCTGTCTGTCCGTGTGTAAACACGATAACTTGAGTACCGTTACAGCTAGGTTGATGAAATTTCATATATAAGTATTTTATCAAAATCGTAGATCCGTATCAACTTTTGAGCGATTTCCGACAACCGGAAGTGGTACTTTTTCTACTTTGAATTTTTCAAAAGCCTATAACTTGAGTACTATTTCAGATAGATAAATGAAATTTCACATGTAAGTAAAAGATCTAATTCTCTACCTTCTGTTAAATTTTGAGTAATTTCCGTTGACAGGAAGTAGTAATTTACGCTACTTCCTATTTCTCAAAAAACTAATGTAAATTTTAAAAGTACTAATAATATTGCGCACTATTATGCGCTTTTTTATTTCGCGTTCACTTGGTGTGCAATTAATTTGTCTACGAGATTTTATTCTATTTTTAAAACTTTAAGTATTTAAAAAGGATTAAAAATCATGTCTATAGCCCGAGTTCCCATCCCCTGTAATTTTATATAAAAATATTCGAGAAAGTTTAGGGGAGATCACTCCCGGTTTATTTTAAATGGGAAACTGAGACGGTAATATTAACAAACAAAACAACATTCGTTTGATTTTGGATACACTAGGCCTTTATACAAATAGGTACCAAAAATGTATGGAATGTTGCAATGATATTGTCGGTCTCGCTAATCAGGTATCAGTTTTGTTGAGATTGTAGTTATGTTAAACTACAGAATTAGGTTTATTCGTTTGTATGACCCAAAGCGGAGAAGGACATGGTTTCTTTCAGATATTTTTATCCAAGGAGGGGGCGCTAGAAACTTCTGAGAGGGTTGGGCATGGACACTGGTTAATGAATATACTTTCTATGTAAACTATATATTTGTTTTATTTCATGAGGTTAGCTGTAATCGGGGGAGAGGGGGCGACCCGAAGAACACGTCAATAATTTTTTATTTTATTTTTTGGTGAGTGGTCGGGTTCCAATCAGAGTTTCTTCCAGACATCACTTCGGGGTCGCTTAGCGATGGGGGGGGGGGACATATGTCCCCGGGCGCCGACCTTAGAGGGCGCCAAAATGGGTTGGAAAAAGTAATCGAAAGTTTGATGAGGGGGGGGGGGGGGTGCAAATCGAAAGTTTGAAGGGGGTGCAAATCAAAAGTTTGAGGGGGGATGTTAGAGGGGGGTGCAAGTTTTTCACCGGGCGCCAGGAAGGGTCGCTACGCCTCTGCCGCCCCCCCCCCCCCCCCAAAAAAAAAAAAAGAATTTCAAGTGCCTCCCCGGAGAAAAAAAGTCTAGAAGAAACACTGGTTCCATTTGACGTCCTCTGATCAATTTAAACATCAAAATACTTGTGTTTTACGACAAATAAGTTTTCACCGTGAAAAACTGTTTCTCTCTGGGGTGTGACAACACTGCTGGGTACTGAATCGGCCTAAATCTTAGCCTCCACTGACTTAAAATCAAAATCGAAAAAACAAATGCGAGATGACCTTCCAGCAATGTCACTGATTACGTCACTATCGAATAAAAAAGCATAAACGAAGCATTTGCTCTTCTGTGCGTTGCTACTTATAAGTCTAAAGGCGCACAATCAAAGGTCAAAACGTACGTTGATATACAGTTTGTCTTTCAAAGGGACTGAACTGAGAAAGATGTAAAACGACCGGAAGTATTTCTTAGGTCAAAGCTCACATACAAATAACTAGGCCTAATTCTTTGTCACAGGAGGTAAATCTAATCCAATGCTAATTTGCACCCAAAATTCTGTCGATTTTTTTCTTTAGTTCTCGCCTGCCATCGTTTAAGACCATTGTCGCATTAGTTTGTCAAACGTTTATGACTCTTTATTATTTTTTTAAATAAAACGAATTAGGCCCTATACAGTATTTCTATTTTTAGCATGACAATACTGGATGCGCAGGAAAAGAGACAACGATCACAGCCCGTGGGAACACCAGGCCTAACTAACGTTGCTTATAATATACGGAGGACAATGGGCGGTTATACAGACATCAACAAAAACACGGAAGTTGACATTGCTTTAAAAAATGGAGTGCGGTTTACACGCGGTTTACACGTTGGATGGGGGGGGGGGGGGGGGGGCGGGGCGGTCGTATGG